GGTCACATTACAGTGGAGTCAGCTGTCTTAACCGTGGCTTGTGTACTGCAAACACATATCCATCACTGTGTCTGTCACGCGACTCTGTTTCCCTTTCGGGCTCTGTCTTTACATTTATTTTGAAAGATGAAGCTCGCGATTATGGTAAGGGGCGTTACATTTCCGACGAGTGCTTGCAGTGTTCAGCCAATCACAATGCACTGGGTCAGCTGGCCAATCAGAGCAGATTGCACTTGTCGGAAGGAGTGACTTTGTAGAAAACGAAGCGTTTGAAAGAGGCGGGGCATAGAGGACCTACAATAATGTACAGTATTTGAAAAATAATGTGTTTTTTGAACATTAAAGCATGTCAACATATTCTGTTACACCAAATACACAAAATAATGATCTTTAAAAAAGCATCATATGACCCCTTTAATCAAACTCAGATGATGAGACACTGATGTCAACATACCTCTGGTACAGAGTTTATAGTGTGAACTTGGCCAATAAGTTTACAGTAAGACTGAAAAAGCAGCAGCAGTTGAAAGTGGAGTTTGTAGAGTCTTTGACAAAGCTCCAGTTGCTGTAAACAAAACATAAATAAAATTAACACCACAATCTCATTTAAAAGTTCTTTAAATCTTCTTAATATATATGAAAGAAGTTACTACACAACAGTTGCAGAAAACCAAACAAGGATACAAGCGTGTTAACAAAATAGTGTTTTCATTTAAAAAAAATATGAGGCCTGTGAAAAAATGTGACAATATCTACATTTAGAACAAGGGAAATGGGACATGAGGCCAAAAAGATTTTTTATAAAACTTACTGCAAGAGATTCCATTTGCTATAAAGCAGGCATTGCAAGACAAAAGGTGAGAAGTGAGAAGGAAGTTTTGAGTATAGTGTGAATACATGCAGCCAACGGCGGCACAGGCAATATAAAGCATGAGCAATGGCTCCATCATGCATGAGCAGAAAAAGTGAATAGACAAGCAGAGAAAGAAAAAGGGTCACAAATATGCCCTCTTATTTTTATTTTTGCATGGGGACTGTGCTGGGTAAAAAAAAAACCAAGATGCAATCAGTACCCATATGCCTTTTTTATTGCTTTAACTGGTTACGGCTTGAAGGGATCTTTAAGGGTTGAAAGCAGGTATATATTAGATTACATTTTAGAGTCAGGAAATAAACGTTTTCAGGGTTTCTTTAAACTTCTTCAAAGCCCAGCAGAGAAAGACCCCTCATGCCAAACATAAGAATAGGGGGTGCTGTTGTGAAGTAAAACAGCTTGTGTTTGAAACAGGCTTAAAGTTATAGAGCAAACAGATAGAAAAGAGTTGTCACTCACAGAGCTATCACAGAACAATTGAAATGCAGAAAATATAAAGAAGTACATTGAAATGGAATCTGAAACACATGTTGGTCAACTAATCTCACTCATATCTCAGGACGCAACAGACATTACAGTGGCATCAATCAGTGGACAATGCAGCCATACCAAAACATTCACACAGAGTAATATCTATCTATCTATATATATATATATATATATATAAAGAAAGACAGAAACTCATGCATTATTTATGGTACACCACCACACTGTAGTTTTAGGGTTGTGTCAAAGTATTAGACAGCCGAACTGTTAAAGCTCCAGTTTGCAAAATGTTGAGATCTAGATCATGTACATAAATAATAATGACGTTCCTTTATTCGTTTTCTTTGGAATTGCTGCCTATCTAACTGTTATGTTAAAAAGCAGAGGTGTCATACCTTCTCTTCCTTTTCAGCAGGCTGATGGGTAATCACTCCATCTCCAGTGCATTTGGGGAAACTGGCCTTGCAGTTGCGTAGCCACTGAAAGAGTCACAGGCAACAGTAAGTAGTGCTATAAAAAGCAATAAAAAGCTGTAGTGCTTTTTATTTACCGCTTCTATGATGAAATTGTATATAAACAGTATACTGCATATATTCATATATATATTCTTATTCCCTATGGTTCAAAAGTTTGGAGTCAGAAAATTAATTATGTTTAATTCCATATATACACACATAACATACTAGAGATTTTCTAAATAAAATAATTTAAAGGAAAATTGCACATTTACTGTTTTGTAAAATAATGCATTATTGCACATACTGATATGACTGCCTCCTTTTTGTTGTTGTAGGTCTCTAGATACTCCTGCAGCTCTAACACACTAAACTTCATCTTCTCCAAGAGCCCGTACGACACAATCTGAAACGCATATTTAAGAGATACATTTTATAAGTACATTTTAAAATGGCTTGCACACATACACAGTGAGGAAGAAATTGAACAGATCACTAAGGCTGGTACTGATTTGAGTTCTGTATATAGCATTGATATCATTCATATTCAAACAAGAAACTCACAGTGTCGGCATCGACAAACAACGTGGGACATTCGGAGCAGGATGTCAGCATCTGGGATGACCTTACAAACTTCGCTCCAATTCCACGAAGGCCGTCGCCAAGGTAACCAGCAGCGTCACAAGTCAAGGTGCAGAACTTGGCCTGTATACTCTGAAGGTCAGAAGCAACATATCCTATTTAATCTGTCCCAGACCAGCATGTTGTCAGTGCCAATAGAATATAATCAAAGATGTGGCATGTCTTCTAAAACTTTGGCACTACTGAGTTGTCAGCTTTGTGTGATGAACCAAAGAAAATCCAAGGTAATGAATAAAATCATTGACATTAACAACACAGCCTGCAACAATTAGAATGTTAGAAAAGTGTCCGTTGATTAATTTCACTTCTTTTTTTATCATTAAGATAGGTCTTTATTGATAGATAAGATAGACCTTTATTGAAGCTGCTTGGCAAAAATCGACATAATAAGGACCAATGACAACCTACTGTACCTCTATTAGTTACCTGAAAGAGTGAGGAGAAGACTTGGAAGGTGTAAACTGCACAGGAACCATCCGAGTCAGCCACCAACTGGCTGAGATGATCGCGCCAAGCCTCCTCAGCATCATCGCATACAGTCGGCTGGAAAGCGGCCAGGATGGCGGAGAAAAAGGGAGAAGGTGGAGGGGAGGAACGAGACTCTAGCAACAGCTCTTCCTTTTCCTCCTCTGCCTGTGCCACAGAGCTCGGCTGGTCTCCAAACCCACTGGAGGAAATGAGGGATAGAATTATGTGGTGAGGGAAAAAAAAGTTTCAAACATCAGCTATGTGAAACTTGAGAAAATCTGACTTCTCCAGACTTTTCTACTAAAACTGAAATAGAATCATGTATGTTGAGAGTGTGAATGCAGTACCTGGGTACACAACATGTCTCGTTGTCAGTAAAGAAGTTGTTTTCCCTCTGGGATGTGCCTGCTGTTAGAATGTCAGAACTACTGAAGGCAGGCGGCGACTCGCAAATGCAGAGTGAGATATCGTCCTCATTAACAACGGCTTCTTCTTCTTCAGCCGAATCCTCAGCCTAGTTTTGGACAGGATTCACAAGAAAAGCTTGTTAAGTATTTATCGCCAATGCAAATGCATTACATATTCGTCATACAATGGAAACAGCTGTGGCTATGAAAAAATTTATTATGAAAAAATATTATTAAGAAAAGATCAGATTATGTGGCTGACTTTTTCATTCTGAGCAGTAAAATGACATTAGTGACAGACTGACTGGTCAGACTGATTAATCTGACGATTGTCTTTTTGTGGCTAAAATACAGAAGTGATTCACCCAAATGTCAGTTCCATAATTTACTAACTGCTAAACATTTCATCAAATACTTTTAAATTGTATCTAACATTTTAATTTATACACTGATTTAATTATTGCATTTATTATCATTTAAAATATATTTTATATATACTGATATTTAGACAGAGGACAGGGTGGCTAATGAAAAAATTAAATTAAATTAAATAATAAAATAAACATATTGGTCAACCAACTCTGTCATTTATTTAATAAAAATATTTATTATATTTATAAATAAATATTCACTAACCTTTCAAAATTACAACTCTTCATGCTGAGAATCGCTTCTCTTTTGAGTGCTTTTTTTATCATTTACATTTTTGTATTTTTTTTTCAATAATGTCAAATTCAGATATATTAAGAGACCTTTAAAAAATTGGAGGACCAAAATCTGATTGGTCTGGTCTCATGTTTACGGCCACAGGCAATGGGTACACTCTCTTTATTTGCACCCCTAGCATTTAGCATGTGAGTGATGTTACAGCTTTGCCACCCACAGAGAAGTCATACACATTGTCCTAGTGGCTCATCCAGAGCCTTTTTCTGAGACTGTGGTAGGCAGTGGTAGGCCTCACAGACAAAAAGCGGTTAGCAGATAGAAATGGCGAGCTTTTGAAGAGCAAGGATTACTTGCAATTCCATGCCGCTTTGCAAATTAATCTAATGCCCCATCCTAAAAAAAAAGCATTTCAGAGAAAAATACTATCAGCAAACTACCTCCGAAAATCTACCCATGCTAAAAGCAGAGCCAGACATGTAAAGCAAGCACAGAAAGAGATTTCTTTTTTTCAACCGTGTTAATGGAAAAACTCCAGAACAGAAGTGCGGTATGATTAGGAATGTGTCTGCCCCCAAAGATCAGCCATTTTGAAGCTCTTATTCACCCGATGGTTCGAGCCCTCGGGTGCTGAGATCTCAAAGCTAGGAGTTGGGGTGGAAAGAGGAATTGGGTCAGCTTGAATGTTGTCAAAGGAGATGGGAGGGGAGTCCATGGGGTTTAGTTCCTCAGTAGGAGACAGGCTGACATTCTGAAATGATAAATAGTTTAATTCGACATTATATATATAAAATAGTTTTTAAATGTTTCTATAAAATAGATTTTATAGATTTATAATACATACTGTAAAAGAAAAGTTTTTCTAATCTTTTATCAAAAGTTTTCCGCCTCCTCACAATCCAATTATCCTAATGGATAAAATCCTGCCTACAATATTTCCCAATGAATATTCTGTTTCATACATCACATTAAGTTAAATAGTTTACAACAAAAAAAAAAGAACAAATTCAACATTACTAGTTGTGAAGCTGAGAGAATCTGGCTGGCTGTGAGGGACTCTTCCTCAGAAGACTCGTCAGAATCATCATGGACGATTGGACACAGGCTTGGTGAACTTCCTGAGAGCTGGCTGTCCTCCTCCATTGGTTGGGCTTCAGCCTGGTCCAGGCTGTCAATGGAACGCCTCCGCGCACCCCAGTTAAAGCTGTCAGCTGTCTCACCCTGTCAGAGAAAGAGTGAGAGAAATACAGAGTCCTCTGATTTGGTATATAGCACACAACCACATTTCAAAATCCACACAGTCATTGGCTACAGCAAGCTCTATGTGAAGGTGTTCAGTCTGTGAGTTTGTTATATAAGGATATCTCTCCATATAAAGGATTAACACAGTAGTGAACAGGAACACATTTCTAAAACATTCTTGCTCTTGTAGAGTAAGTGATAAAGTGCCTGAAGGCCATTTGCTTTGGAAGAGGCTCAAGTTATCACTGCAGCCACATGCCTTAACATCAGAGTCAAGAGTCAACATCCACATTCCTTCACCGATCCAGCTCAGTTCAGTGTTTAAGCTTTCCTCTAACAGGGCGCTTAAACACTGAACTCAAAAAGTTACTTTTACTACACTACTTTAATTACTTTCTTGTAACTTGACCAAAACAAAATGGTAAAGAAGCAAGAAGAAGTCTTTGATACTGTTACACTGAAGGTTGGAACTAAAATATGATGGCTTTATAAAAACACTCTTGAAATTTATTCAGAAGGGAGAATTTATTTGAAAGGCTGAATCTGCCCTTTTACAGTAAGTGTCTCTGTGGCATTGCAGCTTCAGCAAATTGGTACAGTGACCTCAATGAACTGACTAATGATTTCATAAGAGAGTGCAGACAAGAGATGGCCAAGCTATTAAAATACAGACATACTGAAATATAATAAAAACCACATTTATAAATGCTACCCACCAATTAATTCTTACATTTTCTAAGATACAATACAGTTCAAAAGTTTGTGGTCGGTAAGATTTTTGACAGAATTCTCTTATGCTCACCAAAGCTGCATTGCTTTGACTAAAAATACAGTAAAGCAGTAATACTGTAAAATAGTACTACAATTCAAAATAACGGTGTTCTAAATGAATATATTTTAAAATGTAATTTTTTCCTGTGATTGCTGTGGCAAAGCTGAATTTTCCAGTCTTCAGTGTCACATGATACTTCAGAAATCATTCAAATATGCTGTTTTGATCAAGAATTTCTTATTATTGTCACTGTTGAAAACAGCCAGGCTGCTTAATATTCTTGCTTAATAGCGTTCAAAACAACAGCATTTATTTGAGAAGAAAATATTTTGTATCATGCCTTTACTGTCACTTTTTTGTGTGATTTTAAAATAAATAATTTGAAAAAATAAATAAAATGTTTAATAAAAAATTCTGTGGTAAAGTTTGCACATTTCATCAATGAGGATGAATATGTTTGATCTGAATCTGTTTGATTGTATCTGTCCAATCTAAATGTGCACATTTTGATTAATCCATTTTGACGTGCCACTGTGTTTTGAACATGATTGAAACAAAATTATGTTTCTAGGTAGAGTTATGGACATGCATCACGATGCACAGAATGTGAATAAACACAATATCATCTTGTCCTACTGCACACAGCACAACATTAGAGGATTCCTGGGCTTACCTGCATCTCCTTGATGGCACAGACATAAACAAGGAGAGGAGAATGTATTAAAAGAGTTAAAGAAAGTTACAGTGGTATTGCGCAAACAGTGCAGCAGTTTATCTCTGACTGATACTTTGCAAAAGTTTAATGCTCAGCTCTGCTTTCCCCAAGGGTCCACTTTACTGCAGTCAAAACAAAGTTCACCCAAGTAATTTGGAAGTCAAAAAATGTCACAAGCAAGAGGGAGCTGATCATTTTGGTTTTGTTTTTTAAAGATCTGCTCACCTCTCCATCTTCCAGTTCCACATCCAGGAAGTCAAAGTCCCTAAACACACGGAACTGCTGTTCTGAAGTGGTGTCATCCATGTTTTCGGTGTCCCGTGTGCCGTCCTCAGAGGACACCAGACTGGGCTGGTGCTCAATCAGGTCCAGTTCCCCACAGGATGAGAAAATCACCTGTAGGAAGGGCTTTAGAATGATTTCTGACATATTTTAAAATATTTAATACTGGATGGATAACACATATGTCACTTACAGATGGGTTTTTGGTGAGTCCAACTTCTTGGCCACACAAGGTTAATACATTCACCAACTTCTCACGAGTTCTTTTCTAAATTGGAGAGAAATAACACAAAAATAATAAACATAACAAAGAAAATAAAATAAAAAATTACATTGAAAATAATTGAATTAAATTAATAAAAGGTTCAATTAAACAAAATAATAAATAAGAACATTAACATAGAGGGGATATATAAATGCAAATCTTATTTATGCACTGTTCTTCAGCAAATGTCAGACCTTCAAAGAGTGTATTTGTGAGCGCTCACCTGTGAGGACTGTGGTCGTTTCCAGCTGACAGGCACCAGCACGTGGTTGTTTTGGTAAGAGCCTGAGGATGTAGAGGAGGTACTGCGTGTCACGGTAACCCCTCCTGCATTCTTCCCATCTTGCCTCGGAGAACCGTGAAGCTCGTCATATCGCTGGCCAATCACCGGTGTCTAAAACACACACAATGGCACGCACCATTTAAGCCCGTCTGATCTTTTCTTTACATGTCATGAGCTTGTGGCCCTCGGCCCAAAAGTCTTTATTCAAGTGCATTCCCTTTCCTAACGTCAAGTTGCCTCGGATCCCGACAAACTATTTAGGACCTGCTGGAAAAAGTGGACGCCTTTTCTCAATGGTCCTGCTCCTCTGTCTCTCGTAGTGGAGCTTTGAAAAACAGAACTTCAATAAAGGGAGCCAAACAAAGCTTGGGGGAATGACAGGATTTCCATTATTGAGGTCACCTGCCCTTAATTCCTGTGAAATACTTTCTGCTGGGATGGAATTCAGCATGTCCGTTTTCCTTCTGTCTCACCAACTTGCTAGAGGCATGTTCCAGAGGTATTTGACAGAGGGCAGAGGAGTCTGCTTTGAGACTCTAGAAGGGCTGATGCAAAGCGCCACAGCCGGACTGACATCATTTCCTGGAATTCATGCACTACACAAATAGCTCCCTGTTAGGTTCCCACACTTTAAGGCCAGGTTGTTCATATTTCCATCAAGTTTTAAACAGAAAACCTAACCTTCAGAGTTTGCTTAAAACAAATGTTACAACAAAACAACAAAAAATGCATGACTCCACCCTGGAAAATGTGGACAAATCCATCGAGGATGCCAGCATTTGGTGGTTTGCTGGCATGGCTCACTTTTACACACTATGTACCATCTCAGCTTAATGTACACCACCACTTAAAAGAACAACTTTCTCTTTTTTACAATAATAATAATAATTTTTAAATTATAAAAATAACATCTAATGATAAAAATTATATTTAGTGTTTTTTCAGTCTTATTTTTTCTTGTGTTGTGCATTTAAAAACATTTATCAATTGAAATGCTATAATACTTTTTTATATAATACAATACAATATAATATCATATATATTTTAAATCATCAAATTATAAAATAACACAAATGGAAGGTACCAAAAAGGTTTTAAACCATTTTTAGCTCCTTCAAAGTCACCACCCTTTCCCTACATTCCAGTTCTACACACTCATCCTCTTAACCAACTTTATGAGGTGCATCCTGGGATGGTTTTTAAATAGTACTGAATGACTTTACATGCATGCTGGATAGTTTTTGTTTGCTACAAATCTGATTTCAGGCATTTATAGATAAGCCTCAGGGTTTTATAGATCATGAAAAACATAAATTCAGTGTCCACATTTTTGACTACAAAGAAAGTAAAACAGACACAAAAGGCCAGAAAGGCATGTCATACCTCTGAAATGTCAAAGTGAAAGTCAAGGGTCTTTCCGGGCAGGGCTTTGGAGGGTGTGTCCCAAACACGCCTGACATCCACAGTGGATGCGTTACTCTGCGGGGACAAAGGCGAAACCAGACTAGCCGAGCGGGAGACCACCAGCTTTAATATGTTCAAGGCTTCCTTCCAGTGTGCAGTCTAAATTCACAGAAACAAACACAAAACAGAACTAAGTTATTCTCAAAGGACACATTCAGAATCTTGCTCACCTCCCAAAGCATTACATACAGTCAATCCATCTTCACGAGCAGTAGCTGTCTCTTCCTCTGCTGAGATAAACACACAAGCCCAGCGAGAGAAGCAGTAGTTCAGAGGAGCGTCTTTGCTGTGAGGCCACACTGAAGGCCTCAGTAATGTGGACAGCAGCCAATAGGACTGACTGTTTATAGACTGCTGCTGGGTGTGCCTCTGGATTTATAGCCCTGGCATAAGGTCCTGTTTTTTAATTCTCTTTTTTTCTCCCTCCGAAGGAAGGGTTGAGAGATGGAAAACCAGCAGTAATACCAAGGATGCAAGACAGCTTTAAGTTTTACAGCAGAAATGCTATAAAACACTATTATGTCATGAGTAAATTTAGGCTGAATGATACGAGCCAGTTAAATGCGATCATTGAGGATAATTTTAGAAGCGCCCACAATAAATATTTTGTGAAAAGCATTAGTGTAAAATGATAACTGATTAGTTATATCTTTATGTTGTGTTTCCTTTAACCATTCGACTTTAATTTGATTCAGATTTACAAGCTCTTGATTCTAAATCGGATTCTGATTCATTTGATTATATCTCAGTTATAATGTCTATTTTGTTTACATATCCTTACCATTATCTTGCAGTGTAGTCTTTTTATTGCATCACATTCTATACACACCGCAAATTCACATTTACAATACATACAATACAATTACAATACATGCACTGTAGCAGTGTTGGTATTGTTAACTAAAACTTGAACTATTAAAAACGGTTCCTGTAAATAAAATACAATAAAATAAAATATAAAAATTAGAAATAAAATGAAATAAATATAAATATAAATATCAGCTGAAAAACGTAATCTTAAAAAAACAAGAAATGTTGCTTTGGCAACTAACTAAAATAAAATAAGTTGAATTTAAAATATTAAAATGATAAAAACTTAAAAAAGGTAAAAAATGTAAAAAAGAAAACTTTTATACAAATTATTAAAGCACATTACAAAAGTAAACAGTGAATTTAAAAGATAACTGAACATGCTAATTCAAGCTCATTCAAAATATAAATAAATACTAGTATTTTTCATAATAGTATATAAAATTACATTGAATTGTAGGTCTTTATGGTCAAAAGCATCTGTAAATGACTACATTTTAATAAAACCTGTGGAACAAATAATTAAATTATAAGTTAAAGGAGTCACACCTGAACAAACTTCTCTATGGTTGTTAGAACCTCCATGTTGAAGAGTTTGGCTTGAATAGCACTCAGGTCCATGTGACTCAGTAGACTGTAGATGATTTGCAGAAGAGTTTGTTGCATGCTGGGTAATCCTTTCTCCAGCAACTGTTTACAAAATAAGGAAAGTATTAGAAAGTTTTCCTGAACACAATGTATGTTCACATTCCAGTCTTGTTTATAATTTTTTTCCTTAAAATTTCAAATGTCGTAAGAGTAACTTTTATTTGTGGTCTTCCTACCTCCGCCATGTAAGTAACCATGCTGAGTGTGCTGTCGCTGAACGCTTCATGTAGGTAGCGGCACACCACATTGACCCAAGAGAAGCAGTCACGGGTATAGGTGTGCGTTTTGTACAATGTCATCAAATGGGCAAGGTTGGACAGCTTGGAGTTCTTTTCCTCAAGGCAAACCTGTCAATCAAATTGAGTGATTTTCAGCAAACAAATGTGATGCAGATTCTCAGATTAGCTATAAAAGTGCATTTATAGTGCGGTTGAAGGTCAGAGTAACAGAAACAGACCTGGGAAATTCTCTCAGCCACGTCCTTACAGAATTGAGTAGGTGAGTCAAAGTGTAACACAAGATGGGGGATGAGGCAGAGCACGTTTAATGGGAAACCTGAAAGGTAATAGCAGATTTGCTTTCATAATCCCACTTAAAATGAAGGATGGACAAGAATTTTGGTGGATTAATGGAGAATTATGGTAGTTCATAATCCCACTTAAAATGAGGGATGGACAATAATTTTGGTGGATTAATGGAAAATTATGGTAGTTCATAATCCCACTTAAAATGAGGGATGGACAAGAATTTTGGTGGATTAATGGAGAATTATGTTAGAAAGATACATTTAGCTGGTAGTAGAGACAAAAAGGTCTACCTATGACTTGTGAGGTGTCCACCACAGGTAGGCGTGAGACGGGCGTGAGCTGGCTGAACATCTCCAAGGTGAGTTCTGTAGTGTTTGCAGAGGTGAAGCCCTTCAGAAGCAGCTGCTGAAGCCCAGAGAACTCCTTCCATTTTAACTGGATCTGGATCTTCTCCAGCTTCTCTCTGTATTCCTGCTTATCCAATGAAATGTGGCCTATCAGCTTCCCTAACAACCTGAGGGACATCTGGTACTCAAACTCAAAGTCTGACTCCATGAGTGACACCACTGCCCAAAAAATGCTGGCCAGCAGGTTGCGAGGATGGTTGGCATTGGTCGGGTCGGTAGAGACCACGTTGTCTCTGGAGGAGGATGAGGACAGGGATCGGAGCTTGGAGATATTGCTCTGATGAAGGTGGATGCGGTCCAAGGTGGCACTCCGGGGAACCTCAGAGGAACGCTCAACCTCGCCAAAGCGCTTGGGTACGGAGTAGCTACGCTGGTGGCGTATTCGCTCAGAAGCAGTGCCTGATCCTGGGATCAGGTCCAGCTGACTGGTGCTTTTACGGTTTAGTGTTAACTTGCTGCTGGATGGAAGATCTGGTGAAGACGCCCTGCAGGAACACAGACTGATTACAAACAGGCAACGAAGCCTCTTGGACTTTTGATGTTGAAGTTAGAAGAAGACTTTAATCCTATAAAGCCTACTCATATTTCATACATAAAAGGCTTCTGAATAATAAACAATTATTATCAAAACTTATTGAAAACTACTACTACTACATGCCTTCTGTCAACTGATTGATAGTTTTAACAAGTAAAAAACACATATGCAAACCTTTTTAGGTTTAAAAAAAATTTGTCTAAAGGTTAAAAAAAAACAGACTATTTTTCAGACTATTCATGATTATTTCATATGTCAGGCTTTACATAGATAATGTTGTATGATGGGAACTTACCGTAGTATGACAAAGAAGTCATTGTTCTTCAGGCACTCGGCTAGATTATCCACCACTGACTCAAGAGTGAGGAGAAGCTCCATTACATAACCCTGTGGAGAAGATGCATTCTAAGTTTCTTCGCTCACTGAATCAGTCAGAACTGTCATTAAGGAACCAGAAGCTCACCTGAACCTCCTCCCCGGGCTCCCCGACTACCTCCACCAAGCGTGAAAGCAGGTCGGACACAGCCAACGCTGAGAGGGGCTGCCGTAGAGCTCTGAACACCTGGAAGGAACGCCCAGCGTAATGTCTGGAGGAGCTGCACAGAGCCATCTGCAATGCCACTTCACTCAACTGCTGCTCAAGCCTAATGTCTACAAGCAGACAGAACACGTGGCGTGCAAACACAAGGACACAACTTAAAAACAGTCAATAAAATAAAACAAAACAGACAATAAAAATTCACCAGCTGCACCCTGTTAAGGTGGAATGACTGGAATGACTAAAGACAAATGTGACTTACCTGATTTGGACTCTTTGAACACAGAAACTACATGTCGCAGGAAGTTGGCAAGCTGCTCGGTACTCTTTGAGTGTTGATTCTTAGGAGTGATGTCTTCATGGCTCCACAATGGTCCAAAAGGTCTAAAGAAACCACACAAATATTCATATAATCTCTTACATATGCAGTATAAATTGTAAATGACAGGAAGAGCTACTTTCACCTTGACAGTAGTGTGATATGTTTGATTATTACTTGCTTGTGGCCAAAACTGCCACTAGATGGCAGAATAGGCCAAAAGATACAATTTTACCTGCAAACCAAACAGTTTCTTAAAAGTTGATCTTTCATCAATCAAAATGTAAAATAAACTAAATAACCAGACATCAATTGCTGTACATTAAATATTTTAAGCATGCATGATGAACATGCATGAAACTTTTTAGAGATGAGGCGAGAAATATTTTGAATCAATATTTAAGTGAAAAAGGGTTGTTTTTCCATCCTGTACATACTGTATAAACTTGTTCACACTGGCAACTCAAATCCAGCTTTTTCCATATCCAATTCAAATCCAACTGCTTTTCTCTGTTGACCATACAGTAGCTGTTAATACCATAATAATCATTTCATTACTTTCAGTTATCAATATTTCTAGTAATTGCTTCATTACTTCCAGTTACTGTAAAAGAACGTCACTTGGTAGTGTGCAAATGCCTTCATTACTATGACAACCAAAGATGATGGCAGAAAATAGCTATACTCCAAATACCATACAGATCCACTTGATCATGAGCAAATAACAGTGCTTCCAGTCTTAAAGATGGGATTTGAAAACCAGTCTGGAATTGTCTGCAGTGTGAACATAGTCTGAAAGAACCAACACCAGCACCAACATCAGACGGACGCCCTTTTAAACAACACCCCAGCGAGAACCGCTCTGAAGTAGACTGATGAAATGCAACATACAAGTCTGTTACATCTTGAGTGATGTCAGATGTAAGACGTATCAGATGTGTCATTTCCTGAATCAGTTCCTGAACAGCTCTGGAATATTAACACGAAATGACCTTTCATTTTAATTATAGAACAAGACAAGTAACATTGCAAATTTCACACTTAGAGGCTATCTGGACCCTATTAAAATGTATTTAATAGTTAAACACTTTCAATATAGGAAGTTATTTTCAATATAAAAATATTAATTTCTTTAAAAAATAACAAACAAAAACAAATATGACCACAACATTTTCTAACTATAAGTTCTTGTACCTGGTAGTGAGAAACTCAATGAGTTTGCTGCTCTTCTCATCATCTTCAGTGCTGCTCTCCATTTGCTCCACCTCTTCCTGGGCCAGGTGAGGCAGGTTGGAGCTGCTGCTTCCAAGGCTCAGGCTGGACGAGGCAGAGGAGGAACTGAGGCCAGAATCTGGAACCGGAGATGCCTGGCCATTCCGCAGGAAGTCCACACCACCTGAACACCATATGTAGGGTAAGTGAAAATGTTTGGGAAGGAACAAGCTCTGAAGATGAAACCTCATTTTAGCTTACTCAACTGAAATATTTGAGCAAGACAAAAAAATAGGGTGAAAACATTCCTAAATGAGCCAAATCAAAGAACATTAAAGAACAATACTTCAATCACTATGCTGCTATGATAGGGGTTGGGGTATCTTATCAGCATAATTTCGAATTTGCCTAGACATGCTTTAACAGCATGGAGACCACCATCTGCAAACCAGTCCTGGGTCCGACAGATGGTCCCTTTGGAGCAAGAAGATAAAAATAGTCCATAGGAATGCACTAATCAGACCTTTAGATGATCTGTGTATATATAATTGTTTTTGGCTGCACCTCCAAAAGTTGCACAGATAAGAATACTCACCCTCCACCCCTCCACAGAATTTCAACATGACTGCACTCTCAAAGCTATGTGTCAAATGCCAAAGCCAATGAGTAAGTGTTCATGCAATGAGGGTGTGATGAACAGGATTCATGAAAAGTTGCTAAATTTGTCTTATTGAAGGCAGAATTTCACAACATTTAATAAAATGTAGAGCTTCACAAAGCATCAAAGCATTCATCATTGAATTTGCCCTTCATTTCCAGGTCTAACAGTTATATAAAAACGTAGTTGCAAAATTAACGCAGCTGGAGCATAGTTTCAAAGTACTTATTTGAACCTTATAAAGTTATATGTATCATATTTGATACATGGCTTTTGTAGACCTCTACATCATATATAAATAAATAAATGATAAATACATTTGAAAAACAATTTACATAAATGACCTTATTATCCTGATCATCACATTGTTTGACATATTTAAATGTTATGTCTCGTACCGGTGTAGAACTCAGGCTGGTAGGTGGGTTTGAAAGTCAGGCTCTTGTTGCTGTTGGCATCTCTGGTGTTTAGCAGAACAGAGGCAATGAGGCTGAAATTGTTGTTGCAAGATAACGTGATGAGAAGGTGCAAGAGAAGCCTCTTACAGTGTTCAAACACCTCCGGGCGGTAGTGGTCCATACCTAAAAAAGAGCCACATTCTCAAAGTTAGAGGTTCACATTTGTACTTACACTCATTCATTATTGTTTAGGTTCATTTGGGGGGATTATGGAAGGGATAAGTGGGAATATCTGGTTCTAGCCTTTGTTTTTTTGAGTCTTCCAACACCTAAATGTTGTTTTTATTTCAACTGAATAATGTTCCCTATCCGCAGGTATACAAGTATTTCACATATTTCTAAAAAAGATAAGGTTGGTCCATCCTACATGTTCAGGAGATAGCAGCTACTGCTTTCACTGACAACACTGTTCTCATAGCAACCCAAATAGTTACAGTCATAAGACACATTGAGAGATGCAATGATTCAGATAAAATTAGATTAAAAAAAAAGACAAAAGCAAATCCATTTTGGATAAAAAAAAATACCATGTACTACAGTAAAAGCAGTACATCTCATCTGACCACACCTGACTCAAGCACTGCAGCCTTAATCTAGAGGGTGTAATCCCTGATAAAATGCCCCAAATTGTGATGAGAACAGAACACAGGGGCTCTACTGACCCAGGAAACAGGCATGGAGCAGTAGAGGGAGGTGCAGGGCCCAGTCCTCCTTCACGCTATGATCCACCACCAGCTCTGTCATGAAGATCACTGCTATGTTACACCTGCACCATACAAAACACACTGGTCTTTCAGTAAATGAACAAAAAACACATACCAGCAATGACCTTTCAAAAAGAACAGTACATATTCAACAGCTGTGACTGAGTGACAAAGCTAATTATTTAAAGGGAGTATGCTGGTTTTGTCATTACATTGATGATGGCCATTGATATCATAGTTCCCGATTAGATGTTTAAAAGAACATTGGTAACATGTTATCATGGTTTTTCGGGTCAGAGGTACTCTGACGACAGCACTGCAGTTTCTGATCATCTATTTTCCATCTGTCTGATAATGGCAGAGTGACGTGCTTTAAGATTTCAGGATTACATAAGAATCAAGTCTTATGATGAGAGATTAAATTTAACAAGTCAAGTACCAGTGCTTTAAAAGCTAGTATGCAATTCTAGTCTGGGTGACCCAGCAGACTTTGACATTCAATCTAAATCTGAATAAAAGATTGTTACATAATATAAAGTATAGATTTATTTTTGTTGCTTAATGGCTGTTTTATAGTAACAGAATAAATAATCTAATTGAAATAATGTACTTTTTTGTAAAAACAAATAAAAATGCAATACTTTACTTACAATGGAAGTCTATTGCACAATTGTACTGGAGATTTAGAAGTACAGATATATGACAATCATATTTTTTGTTAAAGAATTTTTATAAATCATGCCATTTCCTGGTATGTTTGTGCAGGTTTACATGATCACAGCACGAACTGAAAGATCAGTTATAAAGATCAAACAAACACTTTTCCTCCATTCTCCTCCAGTAATAAGTATAATGTTTAAGAGTTATGGTTACACTATCAGAAAATATGAAAACTGCATATTTTAGAATAAATAAAATAAAAATAAAATAAAACATGAAACTTTAGGAAACTCCAGAAGTTTGACCTGTGGAGAGGTCCTCGTGGGGTGACTGTTTCAGGTAGATAGTCGACCAGCGGTGCCCAGCAGCCTCCGTTAACTGGCATGGGAAGAGGAAGCGGCTGATTGGTTTCCAGCACACTCATAAGCCACATGGCATACGGAGGGAGCGGCTCACCTGCAGGCAAAGCAAAAAGGGTCAAAACAACACGCCATCCATGACAGGCATGCCTTTCATCCGTGAGACTTGCAATAAAACTGGAATTTACCTTCAAAGCATGAATGGTATGTAGACAGACAAACTCCATTACGGCCATACCTCATGTCTAATGCAATCATGCTCAAAAACCATTAAGCTTAAGCTATTTCAAGCTGAAATGTATTAACAGAGCCGGCTATCAGAAATATCTCAAATTCAAGACAGGTCTAAACTATTTTGCTGCTTTAAAGTTTTCAATAATATTTAACATCCTTGAGCCAGAACTGTCTCGACATCCATGGTCAAAGGGGGGGTTATAAACTTGACTCACTCTTTTCCTCATCGTAGGAACCTCCAGAACTGCTGCTGTACCGAGACTCCAGGCGGTTATGTGCTCGTAAGATGTTGCTTAGCCTTTGGTGGACAGAAAAATATTTTTGTCAATGCGTGTATCAAATACAAACATGGAAAATTATTATGCCCTCGAACAAGGCAGTTAATCTTAGGTTGCTCCAGGGGAAGTGCAAGTCGCTTTGGATAAAGGTGTCTGCTTTATGATGAATTATAATGAGTTATGTTAGTAATGCTTATGGTGGGTGTAACCTCAAACTGTCATCAAACTTGACCCAGAAATATATATATATATAATGAAAGAGTGTTAAGGCACACATGTAAATTGTGTGGTTTGTGGCACATACCTGTCATCACACTCCTTTGTGACTGGTGAGTCGTCTGTGTCAGAGATGTATTCCTGGCCACACACCAATGTTTTGCTACAGGAAGGTGGACCTTTAAAGACATATTTATTAATATAGCATGTGCCATGTGCTATACATGCAACACATGAATGCTATTTCAGCCATTTTGCTGCCTTTATGTATTTATGACATTTTGCCATGACAAAAGTTTGGGGTTGATATGATTTTTAAAATGTTTTTGAAAGAAGTCTCTTATGTCCACCAAGGGTGCATTTATTTGATCAAAAGATACAGTAAAAACAGTAATACTGTGAAATATCAGCAGCCATTACTGCAGTATTCAGTGTGATCGTGATCAATAATCATGCTGATATGCTGATTTGGCGCTCAAGAATCATTTCTTATTTTTCTCAATGTTGAAAACTGTGATACAATTTTTTCAGGATTCTTTGATGAATAGAAAGTTCAAAAGACCAGCATTTATTTGAAAGAGAATTTTTTTGTTACATTATAAATGTCTTTACTGTCCTGTTTGATCACTTTGATGCGACCTTGCTGAATAAAAAAGTAAAAAACAAATGTCTTAATGACCCCACACTTTTGAACAGCACTGTACTATATCTGCAGACAAATTCTCTTGCATGCATACCAGAAGTGGTGGTGGTAATTTTGCTTGTGGCTGAAAAGTGGTAGAACGGAGGACTGTCACAGTGCACCACTACGGGGTTCACAGGGTCTGTCTGCTGAAGTTCATAAAGCAGCTCCTCCATGGTTTGAATGGTGTTGTTGCGACAAAGGTAGATCCCAACCTTCTTAATCTGAGCATAAATAGAGGACGGACATAACTTGACAGCTAAGCTTTCTTTAACCAAATGGCCTGCTTTACCAATAAAATCTTTACAACAAACCAAAATATAATGAAATAAATAAATGTGCAACTTACATGAGGCAGAAGAGAGGTGTCGCTGCTGACTCCGCATAAGCTGATGAGGAACTGCAGGGTGGTCCGCAGGTTATTAGTCCATCGTTCATTACTGACCAGAGCGTTCCAAGTGTTTTCCATTTCTGCACCTGGGACATCATCACCATACTAGCACACACAGAGACACACAAACTAATTTATTCTAAATCCATAGATTTATAGTCTAGCAGAGTCTCAAGTAACAGTGGTTCATCATCATACCTTTGCAGTCATGAACATGAGGTTGTTTAGCACCAAGGAGGAGGCCTGCAGCGACCCCCAGCCTGTGCCTCGAAGAGGGTGAGGTGCTGAAGTGTTGTGACTGTATCCCGTCCTGTTGTCCCCAGAGCTGCTTGGACTCGAGACCGTGGACAGCAGGCCTCCATCTACCATCTCAATGTTACTGAGCCAAGGGAGCAGGTTGGTCAGCATGACCTGACGCCCGTTTGGATGAGTGGTGGGAAACCTCTGACTCACCTCTAGAGATGAGAGATACAAAAAGATAGATCTTCATAAATATACAGAACATTCAGAGATACGAATGTTGTTTCTACATACTGCTTTGGTAAATTTGCTGGTGGTTAAATGAATATTCCAAGTTAAAGGGATAGTTCACCCAAAAATTTAAATGTTGTCATCAAATTCTCAAACCTGTATGAGTTTCTTTCTTCTCTTGAACGGCTACCAGCAACTGGCTACCAGATTAACACAGTCAAGTATGACTTGAAAGATTGGCTGACAGAGACATTTCTCTTCCAGTAACTAGTATAATGTTTAAGAGTTATGGTTATACTTTAGAAATAGCGTGACAACTACATATTTTAAATGTTAATTATTCAAAATTATTTTGTGTGATAATCAACAGCATGCCACAGCAGTATTTTTGTTAACTAAAACTATTAAAAATAATTACTGTTAATTAAAATAAATCTGAAATAAAATATAAATATTAGATGAAAAACTTTATTAAATAAAAATTTTGCCTTGACAACTAACTAAAATAAAATATGTTTAATTTGAAGTACTAAAATTTACTAAAACTGAAATAAAAATGAATTAAAGATCAAATTAAATATTTTTTAAAAATGACTACTAAAACTTAAAAAAAAGTTACTAAAACTTAAACTCGATTTAAAATGAAAACTAAAAATAAAAACATAATTTAAAATAAAAGCTATATAAATTATTAAATACTAAATAATATTAAAATAACATTGTGCCACAAATGCTGTCAGTAGAACTTAAGTTAAGAAAAAGATCAAGATCACATTTTCCTATTAGAAGTTTAAAGTTTTAGAGGTTTTCACCTATAAGAGTCAGTGTCCATCTCTATCCTTTCATTTCATACCTGAGAAAAGGGGCAAGGTGAGTTCAGGGTACATTCTGGCAAGTTGCTTTGAAAGCTGGGATACAGAGAAACTGTAGAGAGGTGGAAGAGGCCCGTGTGTCCCATGCAGGATAGCACCACTTTTCTGTTCCACAATCCTCTTAGAATACACAGACAGCTTGGCCTCTAGAATCTATTCAACCAGAAAACACATACACACACACACACACACACACACACACACACACACACAGACAGATTAGCACACAAACACACCATTTAATCCAGTACACTTTCTATTATTGCAACACTTATTTGGCAGAGAATGTTCTCTCTCTGACCTGCATTAATTGCATAGCAATCTCGTAGATCTCCCTGTTTGTGTCAGACGCTTTGAAGAGAACGAGGTTCAGCAGAGTCACAATATCACTGGAGTAGTTTCTGTGACAGAAAACAAAAGATTTCCTACATAAAAACAAGTTACACATAGATAGATTTTTACTAAATATGTAAATGAGAGGCTTCAGTCCAAAGACACATCTAGTCTTGGCACTATGTATGTAAACAAATTATCATGAGAAAGAAAGCAGGCAAGCGCTGCCAAAGTTCTACTGAATAGGTTTTAGGGGTGATGATTTATTTTTTAACATTGAATTAATTTTAATTAGAGATGCACCGATTGCAATTTTCTTGGCCGATTCCGGTCTCCGATTTTTTTTGTTAGTGTGATCTGCCGATACCGATTTTTCTTTCTTTAACCAAATGGCCTGCTTTACCAATAAAATCTTTACAGCAAACCAAAATATAATGAAATAAATAAATGTGCAACTTACATGAGGCAGAAGAGAGGTGTCGCTGCTGACTCCGCATAAGCTGATGAGGAACTGCAGGGTGGTCCGCAGGTTATTAGTCCATCGTTCATTACTGACCAGAGCGTTCCAAGCGTTTTCCATTTCTGCACCTGGGACATCATCACCATACTAGCACACACAGAGACACACAAACTAATTTATTCTAAATCCATAGATTTATAGTCTAGCAGAGTCTCAAGTAACAGTGGTTCATCATCATACCTTTGCAGTCATGAACATGAGGTTGTTTAGGACCAAGGAGGAGGCCTGCAGCGACCCCCAGCCTGTGCCTCGAAGAGGGTGAGGTGCTGAAGTGTTGTGACTGTATCCCGTCCTGTTGTCCCCAGAGCTGCTTGGACTCGAGACCGTGGACAGCAGGCCTCCATCTACCATCTCAATGTTACTGAGCCAAGGGAGCAGGTTGGTCAGCATGACCTGACGCCCGTTTGGATGAGTGGTGGGAAACCTCTGACTCACCTCTAGAGATGAGAGATACAAAAAGATAGATCTTCATAAATATACAGAACATTCAGAGATACGAATGTTGTTTCTACATACTGCTTTGGTAAATTTGCTGGTGGTTAAATGAATATTCCAAGTTAAAGGGATAGTTCACCCAAAAATTTAAATGTTGTCATCAAATTCTCAAACCTGTATGAGTTTCTTTCTTCTCTTGAACGGCTACCAGCAACTGGCTACCAGATTAACACAGTCAAGTATGACTTGAAAGATTGGCTGACAGAGACATTTCTCTTCCAGTAACTAGTATAATGTTTAAGAGTTATGGTTATACTTTAGAAATAGCGTGACAACTACATATTTTAAATGTTAATTATTCAAAATTATTTTGTGTGATAATCAACAGCATGCCACAGCAGTATTTTTGTTAACTAAAACTATTAAAAATAATTACTGTTAATTAAAATAAATCTGAAATAAAATATAAATATTAGATGAAAAACTTTATTAAATAAAAATTTTGCCTTGACAACTAACTAAAATAAAATATGTTTAATTTGAAGTACTAAAATTTACTAAAACTGAAATAAAAATGAATTAAAGATCAAATTAAATATTTTTAAAAAATGACTACTAAAACTTAAAAAAAAGTTACTAAAACTTAAACTCGATTTAAAATGAAAACTAAAAATAAAAACATAATTTAAAATAAAAGCTATATAAATTATTAAATACTAAATAATATTAAAATAACATTGTGCCACAAATGCTGTCAGTAGAACTTAAGTTAAGAAAAAGATCAAGATCACATTTTCCTATTAGAAGTTTAAAGTTTTAGAGGTTTTCACCTATAAGAGTCAGTGTCCATCTCTATCCTTTCATTTCATACCTGAGAAAAGGGGCAAGGTGAGTTCAGGGTACATTCTGGCAAGTTGCTTTGAAAGCTGGGATACAGAGAAACTGTAGAGAGGTGGAAGAGGCCCGTGTGTCCCATGCAGGATAGCACCACTTTTCTGTTCCACAATCCTCTTAGAATACACAGACAGCTTGGCCTCTAGAATCTATTCAACCAGAAAACACATACACACACACACACACACACACACACACACACACACACAGACAGATTAGCACACAAACACACCATTTAATCCAGTACACTTTCTATTATTGCAACACTTATTTGGCAGAGAATGTTCTCTCTCTGACCTGCATTAATTGCATAGCAATCTCGTAGATCTCCCTGTTTGTGTCAGACGCTTTGAAGAGAACGAGGTTCAGCAGAGTCACAATATCACTGGAGTAGTTTCTGTGACAGAAAACAAAAGATTTCCTACATAAAAACAAGTTACACATAGATAGATTTTTACTAAATATGTAAATGAGAGGCTTCAGTCCAAAGACACATCTAGTCTTGGCACTATGTATGTAAACAAATTATCATGAGAAAGAAAGCAGGCAAGCGCTGCCAAAGTTCTACTGAATAGGTTTTAGGGGTGATGATTTATTTTTTAACATTGAATTAATTTTAATTAGAGATGCACCGATTGCAATTTTCTTGGCCGATTCCGGTCTCCGATTTTTTTTGTTAGTGTGATCTGCCGATACCGATTTTTGCCGATACCGATTTTTGCCGGTTACGATTTTCTTTCTAAGAACTATAATTGACAGCATATAAAAACTAAAATCTACTTTTTTTCAATGCAAAGTTTTATTTTCATTAAAAAAAACAAGTAAAAAGTCAGTAATAAAATAAGAAAAAATAGAAAAATTGCAAACAAGAGCACAAATAAATGCAATAGAATAAAGAGAGCTATGAAACTAAGTTTTTCAGGTTAAGTAAGTTTTTATTCAGGTAAGAAATACTACAGAAATTAAAGTAATCAAATGCAAAATAACACATCCAGTGTTATTTTACATTTGATTACTTTAATTTCTGTAGTCTTCATTGTAAAAATTAAATACAGATTAATGCTTACCATTAAAGTTATAAAACGTATGGAGTCAAGAGCAGAAAGTGATTTTCTTTGTCTTTTGTTCGTTGATCAACATGACAGACAGCAGCAGGAATATTGGACTGCGGTCCCTTTAAGAGTTTATCCACGGACCCAATATACTGTTACACAACATGCGTTCTCTTTCTCAACTATTTAACATTCCAAAACTGACTGTGTTTAACTGGATACTCGTCAAGATGATCATTTTGACATAATTTTGTATGTATTTGACCGTTTTAGCGCAGTTAGCCACTCATTTTGGTATTTGTGGCTCACAAGCTGTTTGAGACTGAGTTCGGCTTGTGTGCTCCACTAATATAGATCAGTGGTGATGCACACGCTTTTGGTGCAAGCGCGAAACCTGTGGGAATGACTAAAATAATGTGCAATACAAGCACTATTTAACTCCACTAATATAGATCAGTGGTGATGCACATGCTTTTGGTGCAAGCGCGAAACCTGTGGGAATGACTAAAATAATGTGCAATACAAGCACTATTTAACCGGAGCGAATGAGATGTGTGTGTGAGAGCGAAGGGGTCGTTGGAGAGAAGAGAGCGAGAATGCACAGCTGACGTTATTGCCTGTGCCGCTGGTAACAAAACGGTCACCGATCCGGGCCGATAATGAGGGAAAACAGCCGATTCCGAACCCTGGCTGATCGATCGGTCCATGTCTAATTTTAATTAGATAATCATTATTTCGTTACACAATATTTTTTATTTAATTTATAATTTTAAATGCTGTTCTTTTGAACTTTCTATTTATCAAATAAAAAAAACCCTGAAAAAAATGCATTCAACTGGAAAATTCAATATTTGCTCTGGCTTTTCAGGGCCCAGCGTACCTGCTACCACAGACAGTGGCGATGGCTTTGAAGCAACCAGAGGCCAGCTGGCAGGAGCCGGTGTAACATCGGTCCACGGCCCAGTTAAACAGATTCACCTGATCTGGGTTAAGTTCCAGCAGAAGAACCACCACCTCACTGCCCAGCTGATGCACCTGAGGAGAATCAGATCAGAGGATCACATATGTTATCCATTGATGTGAATGGTGATACAAAACCACCTTAGCTGGTGGAGAAACTAGGTCATTTTAATTAGATAATCATTTATAATGTTACACAATATTTTTATTTCAAATAATTGCTGTTCTTTTGAACATTCTATTCATCAAAGACATTTCGAAAATCTTACTGATCCCAAACTTTTGAACGGTAGTGTCTTGTTCTAACTCAACAAAATATTTCAGGGCACAAAACCAGACTTTCACTTCAAGAACCAACATTTGCAGAACAATGAAAACATCGCTCATTCACAAGCTGAGAAAGGGAGAGTGAGAGAGACATCTAAGAAAAGTGGCTAGTCTTATGAAAAGCCCCTGAGCAAATCTGCACTGGGTCAAAAGGCACACTTTGAGAATCATTTTAAAGATGGTTGTGTTGGTTTAGTGCTATCAACACCAAAGGAGCGATTGAGGACGTATGTGGGTCATGTTGTTTCAGAGTGTTTGGCCGCATACCCGCAGATCTTGACAGCCAAGGATGTTATCCAGCCACTTATAGAGGTAGCCATCAGGAGAGAGCCCTACGTTGTCGAACACAGGGCCACAACAAAGGACAGATGACATGGCCTATGAAAGGAAGAAAAAACAACATTCTTTCATATAAAACTTGGAATTTCTGTTTTGAGGAAATCACGTCCTATCGTGTTCAACAACAACAAAAAAGACTTCAAAGAAACAGAGAAGAGACTCATAGGACTCATATCATGTTCTGGACATTTGTTTGTTTTAATGACGCCAGGATCTTGAAATTACACACCTTTTACAAATGCTATAACATTGTATATGGTCGTCTTACAACACCCACCTTTCCATTATGGGAAAGGGTTCACGGCAATACAAGAAGCTACATGTACACACAAACAATATAGCTTTAGAGGCGGGTGTAATTTTTCCAGAAATCCGAACCTGAACAAACCCAACGTGAACTATGTTTACACGTCGTCAATCTGCAAAGATCCGACATTATGAGTACGGGGTTCCCACAGACAAACAGAGCACATATATGCTGTCATCACAAATGGACTCATTCGTCACTTAATGGACCCACTTTTGTCTCTTTGGCATGTGTGTCCACACTGAGGTCCTGCACTGTAAATGACTACAGCGCTTCCTGGGCTATAAGTAGACCTCTGGAGATAAAATTAGTGGAGTATATGTCTGTGGTCTAAATTAGCAACACAAGCAAAGCTTTAAATTAGAGCCAGGGTTAAACATCATCTCATTCCACTGCTTTCATATGTAGATTCTTCCAAATAAATATATATATGTAAAAATATGTATTTTATTATTTATTTAATATTTTTAATGTATTATTATTTGTTCTAATGTTCCTCTTTAAACCAATTATTTTTTTATGACGTTTTGAATCATGCATACACTACTGTTTACAGTTTGGGGTCAGTAAGATTTTTTTAAAATAAATTAATACTTTTATTCAGCAAGGATGTCTTTAATTAATTTAAATTGACAGTAAAGACTTTTCCATAGTTACCAAAAAAAACTCCTGAAGGATTGTGTGACAGTTATTTTAAATTGTAATATTATTTCACAATATTGTTACTGTATCTTTGATCAAATAAATAGCTTTTACTGCATTCCTGATTAAAATATATTAAAATAGAACATAGTTATTTTAATTTGCAAAACTATTTTTCAATATTAATGTTTTTACTGTTTTTTTTTCATCAAATACATGCAACTTTTGTGAAAGGCTCCAATCCCAACCTTTTGAACAGTAGTGTGTACTTATAAATAAAATGAATAATGATGAATAATATACATCTTTTTTATTTGGAATGAAAACCCATTAAAAATGTACTGTGTAATGGAAACTGCACAGTATGAATATATAAATGTATACATTATATAAATGTAGTCTTCTCTACCTTAAGAGCACAATACTGGTATCGAGTGATCTGATGGTTCCGGTCACTATAGCGATCCAGGGGCGTGAACATGATACTGAAGGGTCCAGCCCATTGGCTAAAAAGGATGAAGAGATGGTGTCGAAGGCTTTGCTGAGGGAAGAGGAAACGTCGATGATGCACTATGATACGAATAAAACAAGGAGAGGAGAAGAGAGGTATTAGGTTTAAAACATTTTTTTAAACATTTTAACAATGCAAGTTGGGCTACAGGAACACCTTCATAAAAAAATATTTTGTGAAAAAACTTTGTTTAATTTTTTTTTATAGGAAAGAAAAGGCAAAATGACTGGCCGTTGTGCGACTCATCATTTGCCCACGATTTGGCTCTTCATCTAATCTACTGCTATTTTGGGCAGTGTCTCCACTTGGGAGTCTAAATCAAGACTGACGTCAGGAGTCCTGTGACTGAATACACTGTAACCTGGCAATGAATCCCATTTCCTAAACAAAGAAAACGTGGAACGCTTCCCAGAGCAAAATATAACTGCATGACCATCAGTATGATGTCATTATTTAATGTGAGGAATAAATATTTCAAGTGGAAAGAACAATATTATGACTATTTATGAATTAAATGTGTTGTGCACAAACAACAAATGTGTATTAAGAAAGAAAATGGGCTAAATTGTGATTTTGTGTTGACATTAATTGTATACTGAGTTTGTGAGATGTCTTTTGCTTCCTCTTCACCTGGGACACACTGTATGAGGTTGGCCACCATGGCGCTGAAGTGAGCTCGGATGTCTTTGAGAATCTCCATGTCTTTGTCATTCTCGGCTTCCAGAAGCATCCGGGTCAGGTCCACATACTCAAGAAAGAGAGCGCCCAGGGCCAGGGTATCACGTTCCAGCGCTCCATTAGTGCTGAGAGACAGAGACAGGGATCATTTCATGTTTTCTAGCCTGCAAGTTCATAATGAGACGAAATGGAGGTGGCCAGAGAACAGAATCCATAATAATAACATCCTTCTCACCTGTCACTGATGACACCGGCATCCGCCAGCAGCTCAAAGATCCTGAGGAGCTGGAGTCTCAGCAGATCTCTTCTCTCTCGTCGTTTTTTATTCTAGAGGACATATTATGAAGCAAATTACTATAGACACTTGCAATATTTAAAATATATATTTGATTAATTTGCAAATCTGGAAATATATCTGACCTCAGGTCGTCTTTCCAAAGCTTCCTTCATCAAAGGATGCAGTTCCTCAACCAGCTCTCTGTACAAGACACAACAAATATGAAATCAATAAGGTGAAAGAAGAATCGATACTGTGCTGCCAGGGTTTATAGAGCAATAATTGCTCTATTCCCATAAATACTTTTTTATGATTCCAAGAACTGAAATGAGCAGACATAACTAATATAAAATGACATCTGATCACTTCTTTGGAAGTTTGTTCAGATTTAGAGATGATGTCAAAATTATAATTATAACAAAGTAGAAGTCAAGTGAAAATGGCCCTCACGCAAAGTCTAAATATAATGTAGCGTTTGTGCATCGCCTTATCAAAGTCAAGGAATTCAAAAACCCTGACAAAGAGCAAAACAGAGGTATGACAAGAATGCGAACATCAGGTGCTGCTCACATCTTATCTGAAAAAAAAAACGTGCTGAACTTACATAGCACATTAAAAACAATAATGTGTGATAATCAAAAATGAGTTGGTTGCATAATTTCATGGCACTATGAGAATGTAGCATCTTGTAGGAACTTGACCCATCTAAATGTCTACCAGTTACATAATTAGAGATCTTAAATGTTGATATATATGCTACATAGTACCTGAAAACGAGTGAGTTTGTGCGGCCAAATCCGAGCACCAAAGACTCTGTGATCTCAATGCTTTCTGAACGCATCAGAGGGACCAACTGCTTCAGAAGCCAGGCCACAGACGGAGTACCCAGGATCTAATGAATAAGATGTTAATCAGTGATTCCATCAAGTCAATAAATGAATGGGGCTCATGACTGTAGACATGACTGGTGCGTCATGCATAAGAAGCCCCACCCACCTTGTTGTCATAACTGCTGTTGCTGTCTGTACTGGGAGTGATGATCTCAGGGGTGGAAGCTCGAAGATGACCCGGGCTCATGATGCTGGGTTTGGCCACGCCAAAACACAGAATCAGATAGTTTCTCCAGAGAGAAACATAAGTGTCCGCTGAACCAGCTGAGCTTGTCTTCTTGGCGTTCACTGGGTTGCTAAGAGATCACATTTCATATTGTGAAATGTTATTGCTGTTTAAAACTTCTATTTTCTATTTCAAGATATTTTAAAAAGTAATTTATTCTTGTGATGGCAAAGCTGAATTTTCAGCAGCCATTACTCCAGTTTTAAATGTCACATGTTACATCCTTCGGAAATCATTCTAAAATGTTAAACTGTGTTTAAAAAATATTTGTTATTATTATCAATGTTACAAACAGGTGCTGATTAATGTTTTTGTGGAAAACATGATTTGGTTTTCAGGATTCAGAATAGAAATTTTGAAAGAACACCATTTAATTGAAACAGAAATCTTTTGTAATATTATAAACGTCTTGACTCTCACTTTTGATCAATTTAATGCATCTTTTCTAAATAAAAGTATTCATTGTTTTGTTTTTTTTCTTAAACTTTTGATCGGTTGTGTGTTATATCAATTTGACTTTAAGTTGAGTTAACGTGTATTATGAATGTACTGTATATAAAAAGAAGAGCGACCCAAATATGACTGCACAGAGTCTATCTACGGCTACGGGAAGCCATTAAGAGCTTAAACTTAAAGATAGAGATAGAGTTCATGCTTTAAAAACTCCTACTGCACTGCACCTACTGAGGTTAAAGCCTGGTCAACTAGATTTAAATGCTTACATAACCTATTAGGCAGCCACAATAATTAAAGCTACAATGCAGACCAATCCAACCACTGACTTCTCAATGACATACAGATGTAGGAGAATGTTTGAAAGGTCAAATACACCCTTACACTAAACGTTTTATCCATCCCTCACCTGGGCTCGAGTAAAGGCATGAGGAGCTGCAGGCGAGTGAAGGCGTAGGGCCAGGCGTAGCTGAGCGCTGTGGGACAGTGCTTGGGCAGGTACTCCTGTCTCAGAAGGCTGAAGAGGCACAGAGCCCAGGGTTCCTTCAGAGACTGTGCCAAGATCCACACACGAGACGGGCTCCGCACGTCATAGTGGCTGCCGACCAGAGATCCGTTCCACTCCACCAGCCACTGCAGGTCTGCGTGCTGCCCAGCAGGGAGAGATGCCTGCAGGGAAGTGGAAGGGAAGAGATCATAGTAGCCACATATGTAGAGAACTCAGCAGTGTAATGAAAGAAAATTGGTTTAATACCAAAATCTTGGGAGAATTTTGTAGAATGTGGTCATTATAGACAAAAACACAAAATGGATTTATGCTAAATTTAGCTCTTGAATCTGCCAATTTAGTATTGATATCCAGTATCTATGTGATTCTGAACTTATTTAAATCATTGTTTGTATAAGTCATCACCTAATACGCTAAACTCCAAGGTCAGAGAAGTAAAACAGACTTTCTTATAAACTCAGAACAGAAGACACTTTGTAGATGTTGTAAACCGCAAAGGACTGAACAGAGGGGCACTCACCGAGTCAGCCACCGCCACGTGGGCAAAGCTCTTGAGCACCACTGGGCTCAGCTGGTCCAGTACATCTATCATGGGCCTTTCATCTTCCTGTGTAGAAAAAAAGACCATATTCAACCGTAACTGAGAGGATGTATACTCAAAGGCCTATATCTGATCAAGTCAGGCTCTTACCTCAGTCTGCCCGATGGTGAGGAAGATATGGCGGACCTCTCGAAGGATGGACACAGCTAGTTTGCGTGTGCCTGTCTGGCAGGAGCACAGTAGCACTAAAGCGAGACCCTCGACAGCATGCAAGACTGTGGAGTGAGGGGTCCGTTCAGCAGGCAGTCTGGAGCCAGAGCTACTCTGTAATAACTAAAGTAAACAAACATATATTATTATAATATATTATATTACATTATTATATTATATTATATTATATTATATTATATTATATTATACTTAGATTTAAGAGATCTTTTTGTGATTTTTTGTTACTCCCTATGGGCAAAAAAAAAACACACACACACACACATTGTAAAAAAGTTTTTAGTTTTGTTTTTTTTGCCACTTACTTCAGTGGAGCAGATCTTTGATGTGTCCAGAATCTTGCTGTTGCTGAGAAGGGCTAGTTTCCACTGTGTGAGCAACTGAAGCAGTAGTTTAAGTGAGGAGTCCAGCAGGGTTTGGTGTGTGTCCTGAACCTCTCGGAGCAGGAAGCTGCAATAGCCCAGGAGCACTTCCTCCCGCCAGTCTGAGAAGTCCATCAGCAGACTCTGCAGGGAATTCTGGGCTATCAGACGCAGTTCATCATCCATATGGATGGTTAGCCTGGCAGTTAAAAGACAGAAAAACATGAATACAGTGGGGGGGAAAACATATGTATATTAAAAATATATAAATATCTAAATATTGCTCAAAGACGAAAAGGGGTTTATATACTAAAACATCTTGTCAAGCATATTTAGAACAAGAATCATTAGTTGATATTAAAAGACACAGTGCAGCCCCCAAAAAAACTAATTAATTGTAATGTGAAATTTTTTACCAATCTTTGCCACTATCCTTCAAACCACTAGGTTTTACTCATTTGTTAGCAAGAAAAGTTTTTAATATAATATTTTAACAAATTTTTAACAGTTTTTAACAATATAATAAAATGTAGTATGATCACATATTCTTTCATATATTTTATAAAGTACAAGTCAATGTGTTACGCTGAATGACGAAGGAACATTATTTCACCCATATTTTGACATTTTATTTTCACAAAAGTTATTTGAAACATAAAAGTAGACACTTTACTTGCATACATGTTTTCTATGTATATAAAAGTATTAGTTTAGTATCATGGATATTATTTCAGTATTATTTTAATTTTAAAGCTTTAGTAATTTTGTTGTGTTTTGTCATTTTTATTAGTTTTTTTTTAAATATGTCTATATTTTTGAATTTTTATTTCAGTTGTATTTATTTTTGTACTTTAAGTTAAACTAAAAGAAAATGATATATGATGCCTTGACACCTAGCTGAAATAAAAACAATATATTTTCTTTTCTTTTATTTCAGTTTCATGTTTATTTTATTTAAAGTAGCAAAAATTAGCTGTTACTGTTGTTTAATGGTTTTAGCTCTAGTTTTAATTTTAGTAGCCTGATGTGTGTGTGTGTATGTGTGTCCCTAAAATGTTCCCATAGATATCAAAATAGTATCACGCACAAGCCTCATAAATAATCATCATACTTTCCAAGATCTTCCATTACAGAGCAGAAGTCCCTCCAGCTCAAATGGAGGAAGTTCACAGAGAGATCAACTTTACACTGAACTAGTTCACTGACCTAATGGCTTGAACATGAAGAATTAAGTCTGATTAGACCAGCCCTGACTCAGATTGCACTGGGACATCCTATTCAAGCTGGGGGCTGGGAGGGATCACATTACTGAAGCTTTCGGGAAACCTGACCATTGGGCAATTCGTTGAAGCAAATGCTTCCTGCTTAAACGCCCATTCATGCATTGAACATATACACACACTCACCGAGCCAAAAGGTCTATGAGCTCTGACTTGGACATGCCATCGGGAAGGATGCGTGGAATGGCGGCCATGCATGTCCTAAAGAGGTCAATCTTAGGTTTCCTCTCGCCCCTGTCAGTATAAAGAGAAGTCAAACAGAACTAAGTGCACTGACAAGCTCAAGCTTCGTTGGATTTGGACTGATGCGTCAGACAGGTGTGTGTTGAGTATCAGATACACCAGATAAAAGATTATTTGACAGAGTGTTGTGTATGACATACGTAATCATATCCTCGGGTTCCTTATTCAGCATCTGTGCGTTACTCAGCATCATACAGCGGCCAACCTCTTTATCCAAGTGTCTGAGGATGTTGTCTAAAGCTTTCCTCACTTGGGGGTAATAGATGGACATTCCTGGTGGTTGAAATAATGCAAAACTGTAAAAGACTGGCATGTTCTTCAATAGTAACATAATTTAATGGTGACCCATACTTGGAATTAGTGCTCTGCATTTATCCCATCCTAAGTACACACACACAGCAGTGAACGCACACACACCCGGAGCAGTGGGCAGCCATTTTTGCTGAGGCACCCGGGGAGCAGTTGGGGGTTCGGTGCCTTGCTCAAGGGCACCTCAGTCGTGGTATTGAAGGTGGGAGAGAGCGCTGTACATTCACTCCCCCCACCGACAATCCCTGCCGGAACGAGACTCGAACCCGCAACCTTCGGGTTACTAGTGCGACTCTCTAACCATTAGGCCATGATTTGCCCTTTTGTTTGCCCATTTAACAAAACAAAACAAAACAAAACAAATCTTAAACAGCCTTTTTTTATATAGAAATAATTCCTCTAGAAGTACAACAGATGAACTCACCTATGACTTTGGCCTCATCGTCAGTCAGAGGCTTGCTCAGGAATGTCTTTTTGACTCGTAGTGTGTTTCCAGAAGGGAGCGTGGCCCCTGTGTTCGGCATGGGGGGATCACCATCTTTCTGCTGCAGCTTGTCAGCAATGACCAGGAATGCTCTGAGACCTATATTCATTCTCTACAAAACAAGAAATCAAGATATGAGTGCATTACACTGAAATAAAGCTTCTACATCTATTGTAATTTGACAATACTTTACCTCTGGATTAAGACTAAAGGCTTTTGCAGGTTTCCCAACACACAGTAGGTCAAAAATGACTTCTTTCATTGCAAAGTCAAGTCTTTCCTGTAAGATAAAAGAAGAATGAGGAAATGCAACTCGCATCTGCAATGATGCAGTATGCGAAATGTAAATATTTTAACACATGCTGCATCAGGAACGCTAAATATGTGTAGTCTTGCAAATTACAATGGGAATCTAGCTGTCATTTGCGCATTTGTTTCGGCAACAACACTAAATACTTTGTCCTTAGACACATGCTCTGTTTTCACAACAAACGAGAATTAGGTCTTGTATAATGGTTTAACAGCTAACAACAGATTAGCATTTAGGTCTTAGTTGTAGACCTGTCTGTCATTTAATCGCAGACTTACCTGTGCAATAAACTGGATAATCTTAACAAATATATTGAGAGGCATGTCTTTAGGAACTACACTGCGGGATCCTTTAGGGAACAGGTTCATCACAATCAAGTTGAGGCGGCTGTGGGGATGATATCAAGTTTAGAATCAGGCACTGACATACACTAAAAGAAGGTCAAAGCATAGTGACACAGATAGCTTGCTATAATTAGCATTCCATTACAGTGGCAGACCTGAGCCCCAGCCTATTTGTGATTTTTTTTTCTTTTAGCGAGGTTTGTCCTCTTTGGCTTATTCATAGTGGTTGTAAACTCCTAAGTCACAGCTTGGTATGTGGCATGCAAATTTAAGGTTTCTGATATTTATGACCTGCTATAATGCAATACATCTCTCTAAATAAATCTGAAGAACAGCGAACTGGCCCAACACCAGTTCTTCTGCCTAATTTGAGCATTTTATGATCCTTGTGATTCCAGAACTAACCTCCCATCCCATGCTTTAGATATTTTAAATGCCTTCTTAAATAAGTTTGGGATCTGCAAGTTGTTTTAATGTTTTTGAAAGAAGTCTCTTATGCTCAAAAATGCTGCATTTACGAGATCAAAAATACAGTAAAACAGTAATATTGTGAAATATTTTTACACAATCCTTCAGAAATCATTCTAATATGCCGAATCTGTGTTTAAGAAAAAGTTATTATCATTATCAATGTTGGAAACAGTTGTGCTGATTAATATTTTTGAGGAAACTTCGATATATTTTTTTCAGGATTCTTTGATGAATAGAAAGTAAAAAAAAATGCATTTGATTCAAAAAGCAATTTTTGTAACATTGTAAAATTATTTGTTGTCACTTTGATCTATTTAATTCTTTAAATCTATTATTCATCCTTGCTGAATAAAATAATAATAAAAAAAAAACACTGGACAAACTGAACAAACAGAAGGTTTGTTTGGAATCAAATACTACATTTTTACTACATACTAAATTTGTTTTTTTATTTTTTTATTTATTTGAACAATCTGCCAAAAGTTGAAATATATGATAAAACAAAAACTGAATAAAAATGCCAAATACCATTTTATATTACTTTTTAGGTAGCATACTACTATTTGAAATCTGTTCTGTTGCATAAAGCATACCGTTTCATATATAGTACTTTATTTAGTATGTATGCAGTGTTCGGTTTATACTACTGTATGCCGTATACATACCCCACAGTTCAAAAACTATCACCACAACTTCCCCTTCTGGTGTTGAAATCCTCTAAGGGCATGTACATCCTTTCCCAAACAACGTCAACCATATACTAATACATAAATCCCAATCGATCTATTATGAATTAGCTGCATAAGACATCTACAATTGTTCAATGTTCATTTCTTGCCCTGAAGATCAAACATGGGTGTGTATATGGTTTAATTTGCCAAGCTTTCGATTCCCAGTGGACGATCTTGGCGTTCCAACACCCATCACCCATGACCACCAGCCTCCCTTCTGGTTCTCTCCTTTCTCCACCCATTTCTGGCAGCACTGTCAGTAATTACCCCTCGGCCTGAGGCACGATGACTGTAATGTATTGCTTGTTTACTCGCTGCCAATGAGAAGGGCTGAGGGTTGCGGTCACACCCCGGGTTCATGGGTGGGGTAGGGTACAGAATTGTTTTATTTATTTATTTTTTTCAGCCCTCTAGAACTCCACCAAGAAAGCTGGCATTCATGAGATGGACCGTGTTATGCAAAATCAGTTTACTGCGACCATACCCACGGCTTGTCTCTGGGGGTCTCAGGTGGGCGCTTTAGTAGTGGCTTTAAATCCATGGTTCAATACAAGTAGCAACAGACCACGGATGTGCTTACCCCTGCGTCGCAGTGTTGCTCTCACATTTGATGCGAATCATGTAGACCCACAGAAGTCGGTAGAGAGACTCTAGTGCTACCCGTGCCATTTTAGGGTCCTTGCTCTGTAATGATGAAGAGTGTATGTCGTGAGAAATCCAGTTTGCGCTTTTGAGTTAAATTAATAAATAAAGAGCAAATATAAAAACGACATACCTTCAGATTGGAGAGGCAGTTGTTGAGAAAGACATGCCATCTGTTGAGGAAGAACTGCTTTTGGCTGACACACAGTAGGCATGTCACTAGTGGGTACAGAGCCTAAAAAAACCAGAGAGAAGGGTACATGATGTTCAAAGTGCACTCAAACAGTACGAAACACTATATCTTATGAAAACCAGACTGACCAGAGAATGTTTCTTTCTTGTTGAAAGGTCCAAGGTGGTATCATACAAGCTCTCCACAAAGTTCCTTAAACAAGGAACATTCACCTCATTCTTAACAGCCTATTAAAGAACGGAAAGACAATAATAATGAGGATCAAAATGCTTTTACACATTTCTACAAAAATAAGGATTGAAAAGAGTGACATATGGCTATATATGTTATTAAAACAATTACTGGACCAACAGGTCATATAAAATGATGTGCGAGTGGTTTGTAATGTTCAAAATACATGTAAATAACATCCAATTTGCAGAGTGTTGACAGATCTTTATAACATTTCTCTAACCGCTGCTACGGGAACTAGAATTTCCACAAAGAGTCCAGCCAAAGCATGTTTGATGTCTTTGTCCTTCACTTCCAGGAAATACTGCGCACATTCCTGTAACAGAAAGGAGCAAAGCATTGAGAAAAACGGTTCGCTTTCACGTTCTTGAGAGCTCATATCATTGAGCTTATCGCTATAGCCTTATCTAAGTCTCTATATTCAATATAAATTAATAAAAATAAATATAACAAATAAAATATTAAACAAACAAAAAATATATAAATCAATAAAAAGGCTACAGTAGCAGTGTTGTGCTTTGTGAAAAGAAGCTTATCCAAATGTCTTTATATTCTACATTTACCTGCATGAACTGAAAGGAGGCTTCAAACTCCTCTACAGGATACATTTTCACCCGGAAGAACTTCACGCCCATGATGAGGCTGATGGTGCTTTGGACCACGTATGGGCTCTGCTCCTTTTGACGGAGCTCCTTCAGCTCACTCATGAACCTCTTTTTAACAGCAGGAAATCTACAAAAAGAAATGATGATTGACAGATAAATCATTAGCTTGAGGGCAAGCTTTATTCTTAACAAGCAATTACAAAGAGTAATCGAGTCGATTATATGTTAGATATAATGTAAGTTAGAAAAAAAATCTTTAGACCATTTAAGGTTTTACTAATTTCTATGACTCTTTTTTTTAAGTTTTACAATGTAAAATGTCATGATATTTCCAGGTTTTCAATGATTGTGGAAACCCTGTCTACTGTCAAATGAAATGAAATAAAATAAAATATAATAAAAGATCTAGAAACTCAAAAAGGCTGATTTCCAGACCTAGTATGTTTTCATAGCATGTTTCAAAAAAACACAGCTCTACATTTCTAAATAAAAATAACTTTGTCATTGTTAGATTTATGAGTACTTACTTTGCTTGTGCTAAGACTCCAATTACTTCTGCATAGAGATCAGCTACAATATGCATGTTGGCAGTGTTGGGACCATGATACCTGGTCATAATAAAACACATGTAGATGTAATTGAATAAAGAATTTATGTGCATTTATACATCTTACTAAATGCATCCGATAGAGAATTATATTCTAATGAGGAAAAAGTATCTTACCCCTCTTTATATTTAAAGTGCTTAAAAGCCAAATGAATGACTTCATGGACCAAACCATCCACAACTGGGTGGAGGGGCATCTGGCCAAAAACACAAACAGTATCACATTTTATAACATGGCTCTCAGGAATATTTGGTTTTGATTGGCCAATTATGGCTTTCTGTGATCTCAAACACTGTTGTATAATAACCATAAAATTGTACATCAACAATCTCTTGTAAACCTTAATCTATGGCTACATTTGCCATTTTGTTGACCAAGGAAACACAATTTGCTATAAAATTTGAAGCAGTAGTAACCACCATAGATTCTTGGTGATAATCCATAGATAAACATTTAATTCTCCTCATTCTCAGATATTTGGTTGCATCTTTAATGTCTGTTAGATACATTTGCATCTAAACTTATTTAGATCCAAATCACAGTGTGTTTTACCTGTTTGAGAACCTCTATGAGCACAAGAGAGAAGATGAAGTCGATGGCTAGGTCTCTCCTCTCCAGCAGATAATCTTTCTGCTGCTCATCACTGGGAAAAAGAGACAGAGAATGTAAACAGATTATGTAAGCCAATTTTGTTCCCACCCTCTCACACATTCACAGACTAAAATATCATTTCTCAATGATGAAATGGATTTTTGCACTCCAGCTACAGGAAGCAGAAGTCACAGAAGCATCACTCAACACCCAGGTGGCTATCTGACGTCACTGGGCCATTCTGGCACTATTGTGTCAAACCATCCAGTTAAGATAGAAGTTATCAGGCCAAGTGTGCATTGCAGTCTCACAGAAAGATGTTTTTAAGCATATTAAATCAATATTTGTATTCAGCAAGGATGCTCTGAAGTGATCAAAATTCACAGTAAAGACATGTATGATGTTACAAAAGATTTCTACTTCAAATAAATGCTGAAAAAATGTCTGCACAAAAATATTAATAAAAATATTACATATATGGCTTAAAAGCTAATAGACCTTAACAAAACCCACAAATTTGGAATTCATGGGTCTTTAATATGCATGAGGCAGATTTGCATTAATTAACTCTACTATGCATAATTAACTAAATCATACTGTATTAAGCTTAAATGATCAGCCTTATCTAAGAGATATAAACAGGACTCACTTTTTGGACTTTGTATTTGAACGTGGTCTGTACTCATGGGATTCATCTTCAACTCCATTCTGTCTTTTGTACCAGTCAAACAGGGTGCGCAAGATAGATGGCAGGCAATACTCGGCCAGAGAACTCATTGTGCTGATCAACTGAAAAAAAGGAGAACATGTATTAATATCCATATAAACAAACTAAAAATACACCTAGTGCATAGTACTTGTATGTAGGCCATGTATTTCATTGTGCATATTCAGGAGAAAATTATTCTGAGTGTGGAAGTGGTATTGGTGAAAGCAGGGACATTGTGCGAGCATGTGTCTTAAATGTGTATCCAAGATGCAAAGAAAGCGAGAAAAGAGGAGGGAGTTGGGTAATGAGTGCAGAAAGGAAAGGCGGTCCCTGGTGAGGACTCGACACACGGGAAAGGGAGGGAGAAAGGGTGGTGTTCAGGGGCTGAGGGTGAACACAGCGAGCCCTTCATTCCCTGATGAACCCTGGGAGAAGAATCCCCTCTCAGTGAGGCTGATGAAAAGCCCAGGGGATCATGGGTACAAACGCAGCCCTGTGAGTTCTGAATGAGGCTGCTATTCCCCTGCCTTCAACACACACACACATATACGTGCATACAGAAACGAACCTGCAAACTCAGGGCAGGGAACACACAAGCCAGCAATAAAAAAAGACCTTTCATTCTGGGCTTTCAATACATTTACTCAAGGTTATCTGAAATTTAATACAATTTTGTACATTTATTAATTTTGCAGATCCGTTTTTACACATTAGTTAATTGTAATAATAAAGTTTAGGAATAATAATCAAATAACAAAGAAAAAAATAAGATTTTTTCTTCAACCCCCCGCTTGCTCAGTCTGATTTTTGGTTTAGATTTTTTACTTGCCCTTACTGGATAAAAACTTAAAATTTGATATACTTTTTATGAATTTAAAATAAAAAAAAATGTATTTTCCATATTTACATTTATCATTTAAAAAAAATCTAATTTTAAATTATTTATTTAAATTAAATTATTTTTATTTTTATTTTATATTTGTATTAATTTTATATAATATTTATGTTTGTACACTTTTTAATCAAATTGAAAAGAAACTTTTAATACATTTAATACATTTATTCATTTTGCAGATACTTTTCTCATTCATTTACAAATTAGTTAACTGTAAAAACAGAGCTTGAGAATTATAATCATATAACAAAGCTCAACAATAAAGATTTTTCTGCTTGCTCATTCTGGCCCCAACGCAAAATTATAATGAATTTATTTAAATTTTATTTAATTTAATTCCATTTTTACATTTAGAATTTTACTCATTCAAATTGTGTCTCTCTCTCCCTCTCTGTCTCTCTCTCTATAAATATAAATATATATATATATACAGTATATATATATATATATATATATACACACACACACACACACACACACACACACCAGTAGCAGTGTTGTGCTTTGTGAAAAGAAGCTTATCCAAATGTCTTTATATTCTACATTTACCTGCATGAACTGAAAGGAGGCTTCAAACTCCTCTACAGGATACATTTTCACTCGGAAGAACTTCACGCCCATGATGAGGCTGATGGTGCTTTGGACCACGTATGGGCTCTGCTCCTTTTGACGGAGCTCCTTCAGCTCACTCATGAACCTCTTTTTAACAGCAGGAAATCTACAAAAAGAAATGATGATTGACAGATAAATCATTAGCTTGAGGGCAAGCTTTATTCTTAACAAGCAATTACAAAGAGTAATCGAGTCGATTATATGTTAGATATAATGTAAGTTAGAAAAAAAATCTTTAGACCATTTAAGGTTTTACTAATTTCTATGACTCTTTTTTTTAAGTTTTACAATGTAAAATGTCATGATATTTCCAGGTTTTCAATGATTGTGGAAACCCTGTCTACTGTCAAATGAAATGAAATAAAATAAAATATAATAAAAGATCTAGAAACTCAAAAAGGCTGATTTCCAGACCTAGTATGTTTTCATAGCATGTTTCAAAAAAACACAGCTCTACATTTCTAAATAAAAATAACTTTGTCATTGTTAGATTTATGAGTACTTACTTTGCTTGTGCTAAGACTCCGATAACTTCTGCATAGAGATCAGCTACAATGTGCATGTTGGCAGTGTTGGGTCCATGATACCTAGTCATAAAAACAAATGTAAACAGTAAAGCAGATGTATGAATTTATATGAATTTATACATTTTACTAAATGTATCCAATAGAGGAAAAAGTCTCTTACCCCTCTTTATATCTAAAGTGCTTAAAAGCCAAATTAATGACTTCATGGACCAAACCATCCACAACTGGGTGGAGGGGCATCTGGCCAAAAACACAAACAGTATCACATTTTATAACATGGCTCTCAGGAATATTTGGTTTTGATTGGCCAATTATGGCTTTCTGTGATCTCAAACACTGTTGTATAATAACCATAAAATTGTACATCAACAATCTCTTGTAAACCTTAATCTATGGCTACATTTGCCATTTTGTTGACCAAGGAAACACAATTTGCTATAAAATTTGAAGCAGTAGTAACCACCATAGATTCTTGGTGATAATCCATAGATAAACATTTAATTCTCCTCATTCTCAGATATTTGGTTGCATCTTTAATGTCTGTTAGATACATTTGCATCTAAACTTATTTAGATCCAAATCACAGTGTGTTTTACCTGTTTGAGAACCTCTATGAGCACAAGAGAGAAGATGAAGTCGATGGCTAGGTCTCTCCTCTCCAGCAGATAATCTTTCTGCTGCTCATCACTGGGAAAAAGAGACAGAGAATGTAAACAGATTATGTAAGCCAATTTTGTTCCCACCCTCTCACACATTCACAGACTAAAATATCATTTCTCAATGATGAAATGGATTTTTGCACTCCAGCTACAGGAAGCAGAAGTCACAGAAGCATCACTCAACACCCAGGTGGCTATCTGACGTCACTGGGCCATTCTGGCACTATTGTGTCAAACCATCCAGTTAAGATAGAAGTTATCAGGCCAAGTGTGCATTGCAGTCTCACAGAAAGATGTTTTTAAGCATATTAAATCAATATTTGTATTCAGCAAGGATGCTCTGAAGTGATCAAAATTCACAGTAAAGACATGTATGATGTTACAAAAGATTTCTACTTCAAATAAATGCTGAAAAAATGTCTGCACAAAAATATTAATAAAAATATTACATATATGGCTTAAAAGCTAATAGACCTTAACAAAACCCACAAATTTGGAATTCATGGGTCTTTAATATGCATGAGGCAGATTTGCATTAATTAACTCTACTATGCATAATTAACTAAATCATACTGTATTAAGCTTAAATGATCAGCCTTATCTAAGAGATATAAACAGGACTCACTTTTTGGACTTTGTATTTGAACGTGGTCTGTACTCATGGGATTCATCTTCAACTCCATTCTGTCTTTTGTACCAGTCAAACAGGGTGCGCAAGATAGATGGCAGGCAATACTCGGCCAGAGAACTCATTGTGCTGATCAACTGAAAAAAGGAGAACATGTATTAATATCCATATAAACAAACTAAAAATACACCTAGTGCATAGTACTTGTATGTAGGCCATGTATTTCATTGTGCATATTCAGGAGGAAATTATTCTGAGTGTGGAAGTGGTATTGGTGAAAGCAGGGACATTGTGCGAGTATGTGTCTTAAATGTGTAGAGGAGGGAGTTGGGTAATGAGTGCAGAAAGGAAAGGCGGTCCCTGGTGAGGACTCGACACACGGGAAAGGGAGGGAGAAAGGGTGGTGTTCAGGGGCTGAGGGTGAACACAGCGAGCCCTTCATTCCCTGATGAACCCTGGGAGAAGAATCCCCTCTCAGTGAGGCTGATGAAAAGCCCAGGGGATCATGGGTACAAACGCAGCCCTGTGAGTTCTGAATGAGGCTGCTATTCACCTGCCTTCAACACACACACACATATACGTGCATACAGAAACGAACCTGCAAACTCAGGGCAGGGAACACACAAGCCAGCAATAAAAAAAGACCTTTCATTCTGGGCTTTCAATACATTTACTCAAGGTTATCTGAAATTTAATACAATTTTGTACATTTATTAATTTTGCAGATTCGTTTTTACACATTAGTTAATTGTAATAATAAAGTTTAGGAATAATAATCAAATAACAAAGAAAAAAATAAGATTTTTTCTTCAACCCCCCGCTTGCTCAGTCTGATTTTTGGTTTAGATTTTTTACTTGCCCTTACTGGATAAAAACTTAAAATTTGATATACTTTTTATGAATTTAAAATAAAAAAAAATGTATTTTCCATATTTACATTTATCATTTAAAAAAAATCTAATTTTAAATTATTTATTTAAATTAAATTATTTTTATTTTTATTTTATATTTGTATTAATTTTATATAATATTTATGTTTGTACACTTTTTAATCAAATTGAAAAGAAACTTTTAATACATTTAATACATTTATTCATTTTGCAGATACTTTTCTCATTCATTTACAAATTAGTTAACTGTAAAAACAGAGCTTGAGAATTATAATCATATAACAAAGCTCAACAATAAAGATTTTTCTGCTTGCTCATTCTGGCCCCAACGCAAAATTATAATGAATTTATTTAAATTTTATTTAATTTAATTCCATTTTTACATTTAGAATTTTACTCATTCAAATTGTGTCTCTCTCTCCCTCTCTGTCTCTCTCTCTATAAATATAAATATATATATATATACAGTATATATATATATATATATATATACACACACACACACACACACACACACACACGCATATGAATTTATATATTTATTTCATATTATTATGTTCTCACACATTTTTTATCAAATTGCAAAGAAAAACTGGAAATCTGCAATGAAAATTATATGCAATCTTTATTGTTGAGCCCTGTATAAAACAATCAGAAGCAATTATGTGTAAATTATAAAGAAATAATGTCTTGAACACTGCACAAAAGCATGCAGTGTCTCCTATCTATCATGAATTTGAGGCATAAAAATCTCTTATATAATCTATCAGAGATGCAAATGGACTTACTCACTCTCAGACAGCCAGACAAGCCAAAAACCACATCAGGCTTTTACTGAGGTCACTCTGAATGCTTTAAAGGCCAGACAGATCCATTAATCTATTTTAATAATTCAAAAAGTCAGATCAATTTTTGGCACAGGCGGGCTGTCTCTTGTCTTTCCGCTTGGACATCTGTTCACAGACTGGATGTGGGGATGTGCGCATAAGTTCAAGGGGGCAGAAAGCAAACAGTACTTACTTGGTCAAACTGTGGATCTTCACCCCTCTGAAGAGACTTTACCAGAGGTTTTTCCTGTAAAGACAACAGAAAGGGTTTTCTAGAGGAAATATGATTCAGGCAATTATAGCTGAAAGTGATTCATTATGGTTTCCTTGATTAAATGCGGCTCTGTTTCAACATCACGAATTCTAGAAGCTATTGTAAATTACAAAAGTTTAGGGTTGGTAAGATTTTTCTAAGGTTTTTGTCTCTTATGCTCACCAAGTCTTCATTTATTTGATCAAAAAACAGTAATATTGTGAAATATTATTACTAATTAAAAATACATGTTTTCTATTTTAATATATTTTAAAATGTAATTTATTTCTGTGAAGATAAAGCTGAATTTTCAGCAACCAATACTCCAGTCTTCAGTGTCACATGATCCTTCAGAAATCATTCTAATATGTTGATGTATTTTCAATGTTAAAAAGAGCTGTGCTGCTTACTATTTTTGTGTAAACAGTACTATTTGAAATATAAATATTTTGTAATATTATAAAATGACTTTACTGTCACTTTTGATCAATGTAATTTATCTCGCAGAATAAAAGTATTCTTTTTCCCTTTTGGAAATACAGTATTCTTTAAAAAATTAAAAATAAATAAATCTTACTGACCCCAAACCTTTGAACAGCAGTGTGTATATACAAACAGGGCAACCTGCAGAGTCTTACAATGTGAAAAAGCTGATCTTAGCAACTATCACAGATCAGACCTGCTGATTAAACAACACAGGTTGTGTAAAAAAACCAAACTGACCTACATTTTGTACTCCTACTCAGATAACATAATATGTTTCAAATAAGCCCTGGAATTCTGTGTAGCTTCTTTTCAGGTGAAAGCAAATTTACTAAGTGATTTGGATATTCAAATAGTATTATGATTTTGTTATTTGGATTCTGGGCCCAGAACAGGCTGTCTTTTCTGACCCTGCTGGGCTTGTCAGACACTTTCAGACTATGTTCAATTTAATTTGAGCTCATTCAACCCACTAGAGCACCTCTTTCATCTTAGGCTAATAAATATTTCAGTTGCTGAAGTCATTTGAGGGAGAAACAGATGAGAGGGCAGACAAGGACAGAGCAATTTCCCTTAAGGCTTTTATAAGAGATTAATAGACTGCCTTGTGCTCTAGGAGGACCTTTCTCCACTTCTGAATCAAAAGACTGGGGTATTTCAAGATATGACCGCCCCATAAAGTTGCGTCCGAAGAGAAAGAAAAGTAAATAATATCCAGAAACAAAAAAGATACTGCAGCTATGAATCTCTATTTACTGCTTGTTGCTGTACAAATAAACTGCAGATAATCCAGGTCATACTATTCTTTATGTAAATACATACCAGTTATTAAACAATACACTACACAACTGTGGCTGAACAAATCAGGTAACCTGATCTCTGATTTTTTTTCAGTAAAAATTAGAAGACAAAAGATGAGCTCATTCAGGTGGCAGCTGTTTTGGGGGACACAATATATCTGTCCTGGGAAAGTTTCATTAACACTAGCCTGCCTGCCGGCCAAGAAACTAGCAGCTCGCTGTTAAACACGCATGCAGATAAATTTGTCTGTTGTCTGGGAAATACTAACAAGGCTGGCAAGTGATCAAGGTCTCCTTTGAAAAGAGCAAGTGTTTTAACACTAAAATCTCATCTGTATTTTCCATTTCTGTCAGATTTAACAATACATACATGTAGGGTCACGTGCTGAGCTACATAAACAACTAGAATTAGCCAGATTAGCTTGTATTTCATTGTTAAATTCAGTCTGAACAAGCCATTTCCACCGTCCATATGGGTCAGCCATCTCCAAAATCCTCAGAGACAGATGAGTATTGGTACTGGAATGGTCACAGGTCTTAAGATCATTACCTTCAATAGTTCAGAACTGTCACTCACCAACGGTTCGGCCATGACGATCCGTATTTTGCGCTCAGAGATGGTGGTGAAGTTGGCGAAGAGGCTCTTGAGCACGTATTCGCCCGGCCGGCTCTCTGGGTCCACGCTGATGGGCATCATGGTGGGCGGTCCCTTTTCACCCTGCGAGCAGCAAACCGGCGGGACAGGAGGCTTGCTGTACCCTGGTGAAGCTTTGAATAAAAAATGTTTTTAAATGAACACTATAAATAAATAAAATCAATATTACATTATTGTTTATATATTTAATAATAATAATAATATTAGTACACATAATAAATGTTATTCATCTAAAAGGCAAGCAAATTGAGAGGGGTTGTAATAATGAGGTCTTATGTAAATGAGGTGTTCTTACTGTGTCTAAAACATTGAACGTATTGTATTTTGTATTAATCACATGGATTTTCTAGTGTTCTAGTTTAGAGGTAAAAAAAATATTTGAAAGAATACAATCAATTATTGTATTTCAGACAATGACCGTTTCCTAATCCAGACAGTGAAATCCATTTCAGAATTTCACAACCCTTCTCATTCTGCAGCTTGCCAGCGACTGCAACCTGTGCACACAAAGTAATGCTCAGCTTTCCTCAATACAAAATAAAGTAACACCCTAGAAGCAGAAGTTGCAATTTCATATTACTTTCATATTTCTTTCACAGAGCTCACAAATACACACACACACACAATCTACTGGACTGGACTGGACTGTACTGTACGTAACGGCGAGCGAGTTGCAGAGGGGGCACGTGACAGTCACAGCAGTGTTAATTCTGACAACAAATTTTGATCTTGTTTTAGAAACAGCCTTATCATATGTTGACAAAAACAGACTTTGTTCCACATGGCTTAAACAGTTTTTTGCTTTCCTACTAGGGATGCACCGATACCACTTTTTCCAGTACTCGGTCGATACCGAGTACCGATACCAATATTTTATTGCATTTGTAAATTGTTTAAATATTGGGTACAGAAACCAAAAGAGTATGTATAATCTTAGTTGGTTGACTTAATTTATCAAATAGATAAATAGCTGTTAGTATGACACAGAAATTAAGCTTTAGCGTTAGTTCTGGCAGGTCACGTGAGTCAAGCTTGCATCAGCTGATTCTCAGCTGATCACATCTACCTATAGGAATACGACACCTATCGCGGCATTCCTATATAAGCTGTATTCAGTATTATTCAGCAGCTTTTTAGCTTGCTTCGGAGCAAATTAAGCATGGCTGCTCGCAAATCAAACTGTTGCAGCGTGTTTCAGAACATCTGAAATCCACATCTAAGATAAGTGAATGCTGTTTTAATCCATATCGCTGTGTATATTACCTGGTCTGCTAATTGAAAAAAGCATATTTGCAGCAGCATTTACGCATCTGTGTTCATACAGCTGGAGCAACACGACGTCTAGAGCATGTAATCGCTCTGAGGACACGCCGATAGTTAAGGCCATGAGAACAAGTTTAAATGAAACACGCATACTCGTGTATGCGTTTCAACTGGGGCTCGCTGTATTCAGCAGCATAATCTCAATGTTACGGTTGTTTACTTCTAAGGTTGATGTTTCATTAGCTGTGTGAGTGTGCGGTCAGAAGCACGATCACACAACAGAATTGTGCGCGCACTCGCTCTCTCTCTCTCCCTACCGTTAAGTAACTTGTGCATTGTTTTATTTACTTGTTTTTGACATATCCAACCGAACTACAAACTTTACAGTGATGTCTGTGAGAAAGGTATATTCACTCGACAAGCTCGCGCATCTGCGCCGCTGCACGCTCAATCCACTCAGCATGCTTTGTTTATCAGCTCGCGCACATCAGCTATACAGGCGTTAATACTGAATGTTTAACATTATATTCATTGCATACATATACTTCGTAGACATCCTTAATCTCTAATAACTCCATTCTGCTGTCTGTGTTTCATATGGTATCGGCGTTTGGTATCGGGGCATTTTAACGAGTACGAGTGCGAGTACAGGAGCTCAGTATTGGGCCCGATACCAATACCAGTATTGGTATCTGTGCATCCCTATTTCCTACCGTATTTCACCTCCAAAAACATACAACAAGGGCAACAAATATGAAAGTTAATTTCTACTTACTAAAGTGTAATGTATTTTAATATATGTAATAAGCACATCATTAATAATTTTTTAATGTGCAAAAACTCACCACTACATGCATATTCTTAATGTAAAGAGCAGCCCAAATAGTAAAAATAAATTGGGTTAAATAATATTATTTTTTAATAGCTGGATTAATTTATAAATAATATATTTAAAAAAGAATAAACGGTTAATTATTAATATAATTAATAATTGCATTAAAGGGGACCTATTATGTAAAATTCACTTTTGCAAGGTGTTTGGACATAAACGTGTGTTGGCAGTGTGTGTACACAACCACCCTATAATGATAAAAATCCACCCACTCCTTTTTTTTTTAATCCCCATAAATAATAAGCAGTGTCTCCCAATGGCCTATTTTTAGCATTGGTGCTAATGTGATGTCACATTAGCCACAGGCTTCACCCACGAATGTTGACAGACACTGCCATTTTAACATAGAACCGCCCTGAGCGAGTTCACAGCGAGTTGTACACAGTCCGCCATTGCTGCACTGACGAGAATGTCTCCCAAGCGTTTTAGGTGTTCTGTAGCTGGATGTATTAATCCACATAGCTCTCTCCATTTACCCCCCGAAATCTGAGCCACTGAAGACGAGGTGGATTCATTTTGTTTTCGAAGAAAATGCTCCCTCAACTCTACAGAGATTCGTTTACGTCTGCGCGAATCATTTTACACCGGACTTCTTTGTGAATGAGGGTCAGTATAAAGCAGGTTTTGCACAAAAGTTGCTCCTGAAGGATGGAGCAGTGCCAACTGTTCATGATCCAGCTAACATTACACCATCTAGAAGAAGTAAGTATCACGCGTTTGTTTTCCAAATTGCCTTTCTGAAAGAGCTTCTTGGCACTCTGTAAGGCTAATGTTGCTAAAGCTACCATTGTCTGTCTGTTTTCACTGATGCTGCCTTCACGTGCTACCAGAATGATCGTGAATAGGAATGTGGTAGTTAAAAATTGCATATGAAAGCAATGTGAAATCGACCGTTTAAATTTGTCTAGCTCATAATCATATTCGGGAATTATAAAGTTCGTATTAGCACGCAACGGAACCATGAGACCAGCTATGTTGTTATTTTTATAGTGCCGTGCTCCCCGTCTGTGTAATTCATAAATAATCTGGCAGGGTTCAGAATTCGGCACGTCCCCGGTTCGAACATATATGGCTGAACACCGCTAATAGCAGTTTCTGACATTTTCAGTGCGTGAGAGAGTGTTTTGTTATTGCTGGCATGAGCTCTAGAAACTCCACCCTCTTCTGAAAGGGGAGGAGGGAGCACCAGCTCGTTTTCATTTAAAGGGACAAACACAGAAAACAGCGTGTTTTGGCTCATACCCTAAAAATGGCAATTTCAACAAGCAATAAAAAATTATCTGTATGGTATTTTGAGCTAAAACTTCACATACACACTCTGGGGACATCAGAGACTTATTTTACATCTTGTAAAAAGGGGCATAATAGGTCACCTTTAATATTTCTTTCATTTTATAGCATTCTACCTAACTGCACAATCATTCATTAACATACACTGCACCTCAAAAAGTCAGCAACAAACATGTATTGTTGATGAAGTCTTAATTTCATCAAACCATCTTAGACCAATATAATTGTATATAACAATAATCTTCAGCAAAATAAACAGTATTTTTTGCTATGTTGCTATTATCTAAACAGCAATAAAAGCTCATGTGTAAGTTTGAGGCTTGCCTTGCACTCGTTGAATGTCACATTTGACCAATTCTGTTACTTAAACACTTTGTTCGTTTACAAGTTTCATCGTCATTCACTGACAGATTCTCACTCACTGCTCTTTCTCTCTCTCTTTTGTAGCACCTACCCAGACCTTTCATGAAGTTCACCATGCTGGTTTTATTCCAGCACATGACTGTGCTGTCCATAGTAGGGGAGCAGTAAATGGGATCCAGTTTTTCAAACCTCACACGTCCTTATCAGTCACTTCAGTGATGGCAATACCTTCTCCCATTCACAACTTGCCCCATACTGTTACAGCACAAGTCAAAACAAAAGTTAGAAAATTAGGTGATAACAAATCCACACGTGTGCTCGCCTCTTCTGAAGGCTCTCTGTTGCAGTGTAAACGTCCACTGCCTCTCGAGACTGAAGGTCAGGCTGGAATTTTTAGCTGATGCCTGGGCAAGTGTGCAGGACTGACATGCTACAGTGGCATAGCTGCAGGGCTATATTTATCCCTGAGTACACACTATACGTCCTGATCTCCCCTCCGCCACTAACCAACAGTGTAAACATCATTCGATTGGGCACAGACTCACTCACTCACTCTCACTCCCTTGTTTGCACATATGTAGAAACACAGATGGCGTAAAGTAAGATATCTAGCTTCTGAATTCCACCAACCGACTCCATTACACAATCTTCCCTTGGGAAAACCGCCATGCGCAGCAAATGAGATGCCAGCTAGACTTGCTAAACTCAATACAAATATTGCATAAACAAAATGCATAAACTGAACTCGAGCAGCAAAATGTCAATAAATAAAGATAAACAATAAACTACAATTTCATAAAGCATCGCGATTGACAATAAAAAAATAAAATCAGAATTAAAAAATGACACCAACATAAAACTATTCATTTTTAATAATATATTTTAAATGTATTCCAAAATATTAATATTATGTATATATACGAACTACCATTCAAAAGTTTGTGGTTGGTGAGTTGTTTTTTAATCTTTAGAAAGAAGTATTTTTTTTCTCAGCAATGCTGCATTTATTTGATCAAAAATACTGTAAAAACTGTTTATATTATATTATTATTACAATTTAAAATAATTGTTTTCTATTATATTTTTTTTAAGTAATTTACTCCTGTGATTGTGAAGCTGAATTTTCTTCAGTGTCACATGATCCTTTAGAAATTATTCTAATATGCTGATTTGGTTCTCAAGAAACATATTATCAATGTCGAAAACAGTTGTGCTGTTTAATATATTCATTGAAACCGTGAAACTTTTTTCTGGATTATTTGTTAAACAAAAAAAGGTCAAAAGACAGCCTTTATTTGAAATCGA